CCGGAAATCTGCCCCCTTTATTCTATGTACCCAACGCACTAGAAGACCAGTTCTTAAAGCCTTTAGCCGTATCCTTATTCTAGTCCTCCTCTGTTCCTCTGGTGATGTAGAGGCTAACCCAGGCCCTGCAGCCCTCAGTATCACTCCAACTCCCCAGGCGCTATCATTTGCTGACTTCTGTAATCGCAAAAGTCTTGGTTTCTTGCACGTAAACATCAGAAGTCTACTTCCTAAGTTTGAGTTATTCACTGCGTTAGCACACTCCGCCAACCCTGATGTTCTAGCAGTGTCTGAATCCTGGCTCAGGAAGGCCACCAAAAATTCTGAAATTTCCATCCCCAACTATAACATTTTCCGTCTAGATAGAACTGCCAAAGGGGGTGGAGTTGCAATCTACTGTAGAGATAGCCTGCAGAGCTCTATCATACTATCCAGGTCTGTGCCCAAACAGTTTGAGCTTCTACTTCTAAAAATCCACCTTTCCAGAAATAAGTCTCTCACTGTTGCCGCTTGCTACAGACCCCCCTCAGCCCCCAGATGTGCCCTGGACACCATATGTGAATTGATTGCCCCCCATTTATCCTCAGAGTTCGTACTGCTTGGTGACCTAAATTGGGATATGCTTAATACCCCGGCCATCCTACAATCCAAACTAGATGCCCTCAACCTCACGCAAATTATCAACGAACCTACCAGGTACAACCCTAAATCCGTAAACATGGGTACCCTCATAGATATCATCCTGACTAACATACCCTCTAAATACACCTCAGCTGTCTTCAACCAGGATCTCAGCGATCACTGCCTTATTGCCTGCGTCCGTAACGGGTCCGCGGTCAAACGACCACCCCTCATCACTGTCAAACGCTCCCTAAAACACTTTAGCGAGCAGGCCTTCCTAATTGACCTGGCCCAGGTATCCTGGATGGATATAGATCTCATTCCGTCAGTAGAGGATGCCTGGTTGTTCCTTAAAAGTAATTTCCTCTCAATCTTAAATAAACATGCCCCATTCAAAAAATACAGAACTAAGAACCGATATAGCCCCTGGTTCTCCTCAGACTTTACTGCCCTTGACCAGCACAAAAACATCCTGTGGCGTACTGCATTAGCATCAAATAGCCCCCGCGATATGCAACTTTTCAGGGAAGTTAGGAACCAATATACACAAGCAGTCAGGAAAGCAAAGGCAAACTTTTTCAAACAGAAATTTGCATCCTGTAGCACTAACTCCAAAAAGTTTTGGGACACTGTAAAGTCCATGGAGAATAAGAGCACTTCCTCCCAGTTGCCCACTGCACTGAGGCTAGGAAACACTATCACCACCGATAAATCTACAATAATCGAGAATTTCAACAAGCATTTTGCTACAGCTGGCCATGCTTTCCATCTGGCTACCACTACCCCGGCCACCAACTCTGCACCCTCCGCTGAAACTTGCCCATGCCCCCCCTCCGCTTCTCCTTCACACAAATTCAGACAGCTGACGTTTTGAAAGAGCTGCAAAATCTGGACCCCTACAAATCAGCTGGGCTAGACAATCTGGACCCTTTCTTTCTAAAACTAGCCACCGAAATTGTCGCAACCCCTATTACTCGTCTGTTCAACCTCTCTTTCATAACGTCTGAGATCCCCAGAGATTGGAAAGCTGCCGCGGTCATCCCCCTCTTCAAAGGGGGTGACTCTCTAGATCCAAACTGCTACAGACCTATATCCATCCTGCCCTGCCTTTCGAAAGTATTTGAAAGCCAAGTTAACAAACAGATCACCGACCATTTCGAATACCACCGTACCTTCTCCGCTATGCAATCCGGTTTCCGAGCTGGTCATGGGTGCACTTCAGCCACGCTCAAGGTCCTAAACGATATTATAACCGCGATTGATAATAGACAGTACTGTGCAGCCGTCTTCATCGACCTGGCCAAGGCTTTCGACTCTGTCAACCACCGCATTCTTATTGGCAGACTAAATAGCCATGGTTTCTCAAATGACTGCCTCGCCTGGTTCACCAACTACTTCTCAGATAGAGTTCAGTGTGTCAAATCGGAGGGCCTGTTGTCTGGACCTATGGCAGTCTCTATGGGGGTGCCACAGGGTTCAATTCTTGGGCCGACACTTTTCTCCGTGTATATCAATGATGTCGCTCTTGCTGCTGGTGACTCTCAGATCCACCTCTACGCAGACGACACCATTTTGTATACATCTGGCCCTTCATTGGACACTGTGTTAACAAACCTCCAAACGAGCTTCAATGCCATACAACACTCCTTCAGTAGCCTCCAACTGCTCTTAAACACTAGTAAAACTAAATGCATGCTTTTCAATCGAACGCTGCTGGCATCCGCCCACCCGACTAGAATCACCACTCTTGACGGGTCTGACCTAGAGTATGTGGACAACTACAAATACCTAGGTGTCTGGTTAGACTGTAAACTCTCCTTCCAGACTCACATAAAGAATCTCCAATCCAAAGTTAAATCTAGAATCGGCTTCCTATTTCGCAACAAAGCCTCCTTCACTCATGCTGCCAAACATGCCCTCGTAAAACTGACTATCCTACCGATCCTTGACTTCGGCGATGTCATTTACAAAATAGCCTCCAACACTCTACTCAGCAAATTGGATGTAGTCTATCACAGTGCCATCCGTTTTGTCTCCAAAGCCCCATACGCTACCCACCACTGTGACCTGTACGCTCTTGTTGGCTGGTCCTCACTACATGTTCGTCGTCAAACCCACTGGCTCCAGGCCATCTATAAATCACTGCTAGGCAAATCCCCGCCTTATCTTAGCTCATTGGTCACCATAGCAGCACCCACCCGTAGTCTGCGCTCCAGCAGGTATATCTCACTGGTCATTCCCAAAGCCAACACCTCCTTTGGCCGCCATTCCTTCCAGTTCTCTGCTGCCAATGACTGGAACGAATTGCAAAAATCTCTGAAGCTGGAGACTCTTATCTACCTCACTAACTTTAAGCATCAGTTGTCAGAGCACCTTACCGATCACTGCACCTGTACACAGCCCATCTGAAATTAGCCCACCCAACTACCTCATCCCTATATTGTTATTTATTTTGCTCTTTTGCACCCCAGTATCTCTATTTGCACATACTCTTGCACATCTAGCATTCCAGTGTTAATACTATTGTAATTATTTTGCACTATAGCCTATTTATTGCCTTACCTCCATAACTTGCTACATTTGCACACACTGTATATATATTTTCTGTTGTATTTTTGACTTTATGTTTTTTACCCCATATGTAACTCTGTGTTGTTTTTATCGCACTGCTTTGCTTTATCTTGGCCAGGTCGCAGTTGTAAATGAGAACTTGTTCTCAACTGGCTTACCTGGTTAAATAAAGGTGAAATAAAATAAAATAAAATACTGTTTTACTCATTTCATATGTATACACTGTATTCTATTATATTTTAGCCAATGCCACTCCGACATTGCTCGTCCTGATATTTATTTATATATTTCTTAATTCCATTATTTTACTTTTAGATTTCTGTGTATTGTTGTGAATTGTTAGATACTACTGCACTGTTGGAGCTAGGAACACAAGCATTTCGCTACACCCACAATAACATCGGATAAATATGTGTATGTGAACAATACAATTTGATTTGATTTTATGGCCAAGCAGCCGCACACAAGCCTAACATCACCCTGCACAATGCCAAGCGTCGGCCATTGATTATGGCCTAATTCATATTTTTGTTCAGTATAGATACAGCCCTTTTCTCAATTAGATGTGCTCACCTCCTGCGTCTTCTCTGCTCTGTCCTCTCTTGCCTACTTTTGAAAAAGGTCAAAGGTAATCGAGGAGAGGCGGCGAGGAGATTGAATGTGGACGAAAATGTAGGAAATTAGACCCTCATTAGCCAATCGCTCATCATCAAGCAAATTACGTTTACAGAGGGGATCCCCAAATAAATGTTTAAAGGGCTAAAAACAAATTAAGTTAGTTGTGCAAGACATTTTATAGATAAAACGATAAGTAGCATATTGTTTTTAAACGTGTGTATGGTTTTCTACACCTGAGTCAATGGGGGTGTGGCAGCAGATTTCAAAATTTTCCCGCTTCCTTGCTGAAAGGAGGCTATCGAGGGGAGAACCAAAGACAGTACAGTATGAAACCACAGAGTTTCTAAAACCAGAAGTCTCGCAACATCGCGAGACTTCCGGGAACGCTTGCAGACCAGGCAGGGGTTTCGGGTTTGAGAAGTGTATGAGAGAAAGGAACAGTTCTTCCTTAGTTGTTACTTTTCTCGAAATCTAAAGGCACAACCTAGATTCGAGGCAATGTCTTAGGTAGTAGAACATGTTATTACCCCAACCTCATAAAAGTGACACGTTTTAATTCTCGTCAAAAACAACTTTATATCGAAGGAGTGCCTTTGATTTGACATCCTGCACATGCGCAGTTTGGTTCGAGAGACCGTTTGACCCGATGACGTGTTTCTATGTATCAGTTTAGCTACATAAAGTCGCCATGACATCGCCTACGAGTGTGATCGGGAATTTATTTTGGACAAGCGGCTTTTGTCTATTTTCATACTGTACTGTCTTTGATTAAACTATGTGGGCGGACCGTCTTCCGTTTGCCTACCAACGAAATGACACTCCTCGACCACTGGTCGTCACTAGTTACCACAGCCACAAAGTCATAGACCCCGCCCATTTCTACAATTTCTCTTTTTAAAAAAACATTCATGAATTTTACGATAACGTTATAGCCATTTTTACTTTGTGGCTGTGGTAACTAATGTAAACCTCGACCACTTATTATCGGTTTCCGGGTCATAGACTAAAGATGGGAACCTAGGTCACTTTTTTACAAACGAGAAAACCCCACAAAGTAGCCACAACCGTCCTCTTCTCACAGCCATTGTGCCAGAGAACCACAAGAGCTGCGTGCGTGTGGGGTCAGTATTTTATATTCAGCGTGCTTGGAGCGCCACCTTGTGAAACATTACTGTTAAACCAATGATTTTCAACTTCCTCTACCATTTAAAAATGGCGGCGGTGGTTGTCAAGTAAACGAAAGACGCTTACTGGTGTTTGCAAGATGGCCAAAATTGAGCTATAATCGGTTTCTATCTTGCTTTTTGAGAGTACATGCGGCTGCAGTATTCAGTGAAACATTTACGCTCTATTTCATTGCTGCGGTTTGAGGTGAAACATTGTCATGGCAGAAATGGAGGATGAAGAGTCAACGCTGGTAAGTTGTAGTGTTGCACTGTACCAATTTCTCTATGTACTGAGACATGTTCACATCAATATATACAATAAAGAAACACTTAACCGTGTAACCTGTTTAGCTTGTTTAGAATGTCAAGCTGCAGTGTAGCTTACTTGGTTCTTTCTTTAAAAGTTCTGAAATTAAGAACGCACAGTTTACCTTATCTGCCAGGCAGGAGGTTTCTGATGACATGCAAGTGACATTTATCGTAAAAACGTGTAAGATATGTATTTGTCCTCTTAGAATAAGGGGCAAAATATTCAGGATGAAGCTCCTAAGTTATTCATGTTCTGAATGGTCTTATTGATTAGCATATTGGTTAAATTGTTGAATAAACACACGACGTGATATCAGTAATACAGGCCAACTTGCAATGCAACTTTTCAGGAAGCATTGAGGATATTACGGACAAGTATTGTCATGCTGACCATTTGCATTCCAAAATAGTTTTTGTTTTTATCAGCACAATGGTGGTTTACAGCCTACTAAGATTTACTCATGTATTTTATTAAATGTTTTGTTTGATTTGAGCTCTGACATAAATTAAGCTATTTTCTATCACAGCTCTACATTTCATGTTTTGTTCCCAGGCCTTGATGAACTACTATTGCCACGAGAAGTATTTCAATCATGTATTAAATGTTGCAGCTGTGGCACAGAAGAAATTCAGCAATGATCCAATCTTCAGCTTTTTCCATGCCTACAGCATCCTGATGCAAGGTAAAGGAGGACTCCATTGCTTAGTTTGAAACAATCAAATAAAGTAGCTACAGGGAGGCCCAAATGTATTTGTTTTTTGGCTCTATACTCCAGCATCCTGGATTTGAAATGGTACAACTAACGGTATGGGGTTAAATTGCAGACTGTCAGGTTTAGTTTGAGGGTAATTTCAGGTTAACCTTTTAGAAATTGCAGCATTTTTTGTACATAGTTCGATATAGCCAATTTAGACTTTGCAGCTGGCCCATCTAGCGGAAATAGCTAAGTTCTGCATCCAGGGCAAGATTCATGACAATAAATGCCAACCTGCGTCATTTTGGAGTCACTTTTATTGTAAATAAGAATATAGACTTCTAGTCATTGCACTAACGCTAGTTAGTATTGTCTCACAAAACTACCCCTAACTTCCTTCATACTGGACACAGAGACATCAAAATGGTATCCACAAGTTCATCTGACTCTGGGGAAGTAGATAAATGGCATCGATGCCAAAATACCGAAGTATCCCTTTAACCTCATAGTCATTGTATCATTTAAAATCCAAAGTGCTGGAGTACAGAGACAAATCAACAAAAAATTTGACACTGTCCAAATACTTTTGGACCTGTATATCTGTTTCTTGTAATATCAGTGATTTATATGTTTCGTTTTAGATCAAATTCAGGAAGCCATCCATGAGTTTGAGACGATAAAAGACAGAAGAGATGTGTCTCTCTGCACATTCATGGCTCTTGTTTATGCTGAAAAGAAAAGGCCAAACCCAGGTAAACCCATATTTGTCTTGATCCATGTTTATGTCTCTGGGTATTTTTCTGTAGCTGAATCTACTATACACTTAACTTTTTGTGTTGATTGCAGATCGAGATGTCATTCAGGAACTGGATGCCAAGGTGAAAGAGGACCGTAAAAGTGCAACACCTAAGGGTCTCTACTACGCTGGGATGTTCCTCTGGCTTCTGGGACGAAATGACAAAGCAAGGGAATACATAGAGAGGATGATCAAAATCTCTAATGGTTCCAGAGAAGTGCGTTTTGTGAGAATGTGTTCCTCTCAAATTGTAACAAAGATTTTATTTTTATTTTGAAGATGCATTTGCAAAAATGTACAAAGTCTGCAAGTGCCACTGTACACATACCTTAAACAGTTAAATTGATGAAATTATGCCCACGCTATGGCAATATAGGGTTGCCTAGGGATGGCCTTTGTCATCACTAGGCTATTTGAGAACTTTCTTTAGAAGCATTTTGAGTGGAATGACTAGAAAACCAGGTAGATTTATTTGTGTCTACCCTTATAACATTTGGATTCATGTCTGTTGTTCAGGGGATTATCCTAAAAGGCTGGATAGATCTGACCTCTGGTAAGGATGCATATGCCAAGAAGGCTGGGAAATACTTTGACGAAGGCCTGAAAGAGAAAGCAGACGTTTTCGCTCTGATGGGAAAGGTAAGAAGGGCACAATTCACTTGCAATGAGAAGAGATGTTAAGATATTGGAGACATTGTTGAGGTCTCTGTCACTTCTCATATTTCATGTGGCACCTAGTTATTGTGCCTCAATGATAATCCCCCATAGTGCTGGATTTTCTGTATCCCACAACCTCACTGGGATGTCCGAGTCTAGTATTCACTAACACAATCTGTTTCTCAATTTGTACCATATCTTGAATATTGAATGGACCATTTTGAAATGCCAATGCTCTATGTTGCCTTATCTGTGGTAATAAAGTGAGACCAATTACTATCTTGCTATCTTTTGCTCTTTGTGGAGAGTAATTAGCTTTTGAAACAGATATACAACAGTGCGTTTTACTTTCCCTCGACATGTCCATAAATTGTATGATCTTTTGTCTGTTTCAGGCACATTACTATGAGTATCGGCATAATTATTCCGGAGCTTTGGAGACAGTCAACCAAGTGATTGTTAGTTTCCCTGGGTTCCTTCCTGCCTTTATCAAGAAGATGAAGCTTCTATTGACCCTGCAGGACTGGGAGCAAACTGTAGATGCAGCACAGAGGTATAGTATCTCATATTAGAGGTGATTTTGCTCTAGAATTTCTGTTTTCTTGTTTCTTAAGTTAATGATACTGGAAATAATAGCTGGCTTTAATCTTAGTTTGTAAAGATTTGTTTGGATAAAATAAATACTTAAATTGATGGATTTGGTCAGTCAATAGCAGCCATATAAAGAACGAGCCAGTCAGCCTTTGCAAGTGGCCCGTATTCAAGTGCAAATGAAAAATGGAGCGTGATGCCTGGAACCAGTGGCGTAATGACTGAGCCATTGTTCCTGACTGCTCGCCCGCTGGACCCTGGCCAGAGCCAGGGAATATAAAAAGACTTTTGAGCTGAAGCGCTAGAGCCACACGTTTCCCGGGATGCACTTCTCCAGGTTCTATGAACTGCAGGAAGGAGGATCACTCAGGTGGAGCCCGTTTCTAAGGGGACTAAGCCCAAGGCCAGAGCCACTGGTTTAGCCCTGCTGAGCCGTAGCTCTTTGAAGAGGAATGGACACATGCAGTGCAAAGTCCGGCACTCTCTTTTTTTCTCATTGTCTAAGTGGGTGTTCTTCCATAGATTGTATTCTCTCCCTTCCTCCAGCCGTGTCGGGCATATAAGCCATCATGGGAAGAAACAAATACAATACTCTGACCACCACATTTTCATTAGCATCAAACAAACAGTGCTGATCATTAAAGAGATTTTTCCTGTCCCATTCTAGGCTCTTGCAGAGGGATAAAAACAACCTAGAAGCCCTGAGAATGCTCGCTCTTCACTCCTTATGCAGAGAGGGGGACATCACAGAGGTAATTTCCAAACATTAAGCGTTAAAGGGATAGTTTGGGATTTTGGCAATTAATAAATGTGTATATATATATATACAGTGAGGGAAAAAAGTATTTGATCCCCTGCTGATTTTGTACGTTTGCCCACTGACAAAGACATGATCAGTCTATAATTTTAATGGTAGGTTTATTTGAAATGTGAGAGACAGAATAACAACAAAAAAATCCAGAAAAACGCATGTCAAAAATGTTATAAATTGATTTGCATTTTAATGAGGGAAATAAGTATTTGACCCCCTCTCAATCAGAAAGATTTCTGGCTCCCAGGTGTCTTTTATACATGTAACGAGCTGAGATTAGGAGCACACTCTTATAGGGAGTGCTCCTAATCTCAGCTTGTTACCTGTATAAAAGACACCTGTCCTCAGAAGCAATCAATCAGATTCCAAACTCTCCACCATGGCCAAGACCAAAGAGCTCTCCAAGGATGTCAGAGACAAGATTGTAGACCTACACAAGGCTGGAATGGGCTACAAGACCATCGCCAAGCAGCTTGGTGAGAAGGTGACAACAGTTGGTGCGATTATTCGCAAATGGAAGAAACACAAAATAACTGTCAATCTCCCTCGGCCTGGGGCTCCATGCAAGATCTCACCTCATGGAGTTGCAATGATCATGAGAACGGTGAGGAATCAGCCCAGAACTACACGGGAGGATCTTGTCAATGATCTCAAGGCAGCTGGGACCATAGTCACCAAGAAAACAATTGGTAACACACTACGCCGTGAAGGACTGAAATCCTGCAGCGCCCGCAAGGTCCCCCTGCTCAAGAAAGCACATATACAGGCCCATCTGAAGTTTGCCAATGAACATCTAAATGATTCAGAGGAGAACTGGGTGAAAGTGTTGTGGTCAGATGAGACCAAAATCGAGCTCTTTGGCATCAACTCAACTTGCCATGTTTGGAGAAGGAGGAATGCTGCCTATGACCCCAAGAACACCATCCCCACCGTCAAACATGGAGGTGGAAACATTATGCTTTGGGGGTGTTTTTCTGCTAAGGGGACCGGACAACTTCACCGCATCAAAGGGACGATGGACGGGGCCATGTACCGTCAAATCTTGGGTGAGAACCTCCTTCCCTCAGCCAGGGCATTGAAAATGGGTTGTGGATGGGTATTCCAGCATGACAATGACCCAAAACACACGGCCAAGGCAACAAAGGAGTGGCTCAAGAAGAAGCACATTAAGGTCCTGGAGTGGCCTAGCCAGTCTCCAGACCTTAATCCCATAGAAAATCTGTGGAGGGAGCTGAAGGTTCGAGTTGCCAAACGTCAGCCTCGAAACCTTAATGACTTGGAGAAGATCTGCAAAGAGGAGTGGAACAAAATCCCTCCTGAGATGTGTGCAAACCTGGTGACCAACTACAAGAAACGTCTGACCTCTGTGATTGCCAAAAAGGGTTTTGCCACCAAGTACTAAGTCATGTTTTGCAGAGGGGTCAAATACTTATTTCCCTCATTAAAATGCAAATCAATTTATAACATTTTTGACATGTGTTTTTCTGGATTTTTTTGTTGTTATTCTGTCTCTCACTGTTCAAATAAACCTACCATTAAAATTATAGACTGATCATTTCTTTGTCAGTGGGCAAACGTACAAAATCAGCAGGGGATCAAATACTTTTTTCCCTCACTGTGTATATGTATATGTATATATATATATATATCCCCAGAGTCAGATGAACTCATGGATACAATTTGTATGTCTCTGCGTCCAGTATGAAGGAAGTTAGAGGTAGTTTCGTGAGCCACTGCTAACTAGCATTAGCACAAAGACTGGAAGTCTTTGGGATCAGCTAGCATGCACTTCCTCCTGTCGCCACACAACTACGTGTGAATGGTAAATAATGATTTCCATGATGTGTACGTGGTCAAGTGGGATACCCTTTTTACTTTTGGCAGTCCGTAAACCTGCTCTCAAATCTGGTCAGCAACTTGGACGCCCAAGAGCCTCACAGCCCAGAGCTTTTCTACGGGATGTCCTTGGCTTTCACACGGGTGGTAAGACTCATTTGATTTATTATTAGAGTGTATTGCATCTTCAGGATGCCCAGCCCACATGGGCTTATAAGATACTGTATTTAGTGTTTGTTTAATGCTTTTCGATAAATGTTTTTACATGGAAGCTACTGTGACTAGGTTTCACCTCTGAAGAGATCGAGAACCCCTTCACTTCACCTTGTAACATTACAACAGTCCCTGAACCAGTACATGACATGTTTGACATGAGGTATACACAAAGTATAAACTTACTCTAATGTTGTCATTTACTAGTGTGGAAGAAATGATAAAGTGATTCAGCAGACTCACATCATGGTGGACAGAGCCTTCTCCCAAGCCCAAGGGGATTCTGATCTGGCCACAGAGCTGGGCTACCAGTTGGTTCTGCAGGGAAGAATCAAAGAGGCTATGAAGTGGTACAAGACTGCCATGACCCTGGACGAAACAAGTGTCTCCGCTTTGACAGGTGAGACGGGTTACCCTGATTGTTTAGACATATGCCGTAGATCTCTAACTTTAGCTGTAATGTAGCAATGCATGTAATTCTATACCTATATCTATAAACGAATAATTAAGTTGTAGATTGTAAAAACATCTGATCTGTAATTCTGTATTTCCAGGTATTATCAGGTGCCAGCTGATCGAGGGACACCTAGAGGATGCAGAGCAACAGCTGGAGTTTCTCACAGAGATCCAGCAGTCTATTGGGAAATCAGGGGTAAGGCTGATAGAGGAAAGATATTGCTCTGTTCAATCCAGTCCAAAGGCCTAGCCAAAGTAATACTTTTTTTTATTCTACTTTTGACATTTATATCTAGTGTTTGGTCATCAAGTGAAGCCTAGTAGGCTTTTGGAAAGCTTTTTGTTTAGGTGATGGTAGTTCTTTAGAAATTCGTGGGCTTTCCTGTGTTTGCTAAGCCCTTAACAGTGACATTAGCTTGGATAAGTAACCACTGAGTAACAGCTGGTCCTGTGGATCTTAAGTATTATAGGGGAGACTCTGGGTACATTCCAAATGGCACCTTATTCCCTTTATAGTGCACTATAAAGGCCCATAGGGCCCTGGTCAAAAGTAGTGCACTATATAGGTAATAGGATGCCATTTGGGACTAACCCTCTGCTGTACCCTGGTACTACAATCCATGTTGTCTTAGAGCTGCCCTACTGAGCTGAATACTGTTGTGTGAACCTGGTGACACCCTTGGCTTGCTCTCTCCTCTCTGTCAGGAGCTGCTGTACCTGCGCGCCGTGCTGGCTGTGAAGAAACACAGGCCACAGGACGAGGTCACCAACCTGCTGAACGATGCCGTGGACACCCACTTCTCCACACTGCAGAGCCTGCCGCTGGGGGTGGACTACTTTGAGAAGCTCAACCCTGACTTCCTGCTGGAGATTGTCAAGGAGTACATAGCACTCTGTCCTGCTAAGGTCAGTCTGGAGAGAGATGTCTATGGATACATTTGTTCAATACATATTTTAAGGCTTTATTATAAGGGGCTATAGATAAGGAGAGGAGAGAAAGGTGGAAGGATCGACTTGGGGATTGAACCCCGGTCTCCGGTGGGGGGGCTCTGCATATCTACGGATGCATTTATAGAGATTACTGTCAGTAATTTTTGACACCACATTTACTAAGAAACAATACAAAGAAGTTGTCACGGGTCGTAAATTGACTTTTAGCCCCGTCATGGCATTCATCGTGGTCTTGATCGAAGTCCATTGGTATCATGTGTGTGTTAGCCTCCAGCCCAGGGCCAGCCTCCTGCCCCTCAGCTCCAACACTGTGCCTCTGTGTTGGACACTGTGGTCAAGATAATACCTGGACTCCTACAAGGTGTCTTCCTATTGGCCAAAGTCAGGTTTCAGTCAGGTGAGTTTCAACTGAATTGCATGTGACAGAATTCTGCTCTGTTTTCATGCCAAGTTGTTCTCAACATGGATGACAACAATTCATGGGTTTGATGGCAATGCTGATATCCTTTAGGTGACATTGACTCTGCTCAGAGCAGCCTCCAACACTGCCTGGACCAGTGTCCCTCCCATGCTGAGGCCCACCTGCTCATGGCACAGATCCACCTCTTACAAGGCAACTACAAGCTCTCCTCCCAGTCTCTGGAGCTCTGCCTCAGCCACAACTTTGCGGTAAGACCAGCATTTCAGATGAACGTGATATTAGATCAAACAGAACTGTTATGGGAACATCATCCTCTAATAACTCTGTGTGCTGCACCCTGCCAGGTCCGAGAGCACCCTGTGTATCACCTTATAAAGGCCCAGGGCCAGAAGAAGATGGGGGAGCTCCAAGAGGCCATCCAGACTCTGCAGATGGCCATGATCCTGCCGGGGGTCCGCAGGGCCGGGGCCTCAGCCAAGTCCAAGAACAAGAAGGTGGAGCTGAGCTCTGCTGACTGTGTATCCGTGTTCCTGGAACTCGCCGAGGCCCTCTGGCTCAATGGAGAACAGGTAAGGGAACATGGAGAGAACAAGCTCAGCAACAGAGAGTATTATTCAATATAACTTGAGTTATGCTGGCCTTTCTAGGAACTGTGTACTTTCCAGGAACTCATGAGATGCAGATAGGGGTCTTTGCACTGAGAACATACATACTCCATATTTTATTGTACTTACATTCCCGGTAGTGTTTGTCCATTCTCTTCTGTCTCAGTCATGTCGTTGCCCAGTGTTGAACAGTGAAGTCTGATTTCATGAACGTGGGTTTGACGTTTCAGCACGAAGCCGCCAAAGTGATGCAAGACGCCATCAACGAGTTCTCAGGCACTCCTGAGGAGCTGCGTGTCACCATCGCCAACGCTGACCTGGCTCTGCTGCGTGGCGACACCGAGCTTGCGCTGAGCATGCTCAGAAACATTACCCCTGAGCAGCCCTACTATATCCAGGCCAAGGAGAAGATGGCCGACATATATCTGAATCACAGGAAAGAGAAGCGCCTCTATGCCAGTTGTTACAGGTCAGGAACAACACGGCATTATAGAAAAGGCTATAGTCTGACCGTTAGGCACACAAACTGTTCACTAATGGTGTTTGACATCTAGCTTAGGGTAACAAATAGTTTATTACTACTTTAAACCACGTCTCTTATCCAGTGCACTAACCACATCCCCCATTGCTGTCAGCCCACCCACCCATGCCATAGCAGCAGTCAGGCCATAACAGTATCCAGGCCAAAAGTTCACAGCAAATCAAGTGTACATATTCAACTTTATCCACTCATGCAGCAAGGCTGTAATGTGCAAAGCTGCCTGCAGTGTCTAGAAGTGAGCCGAAGGTCCTTACCCTCATCTCTGATACTGTACTTGTGTTGATAGGATTTTCCACACAGAGACCCCACTGGGAAGCCATTAGGCATGCGTGAACCTCAGAGCACACCCATGTCTGTATAATGTGATACTGTAATGTCTAGAATAAGATTCAATGTGATCTTTTTCCCCTCTTTCCTCAGAGAATTAGTGGAGAAGCTTCCCAGTCCTCATACATATATTTTACTTGGGGATGCTTATGTGAATATCCAAGAGGTAGGTATGAAATTGAATATAGATTAATCTCGTTGTTGGCCAAAACAAGGTAATGCAAGGCTTGCATGGTTTTGGGGTATTTTTCAGTAGTGTGTTCACAGGAAGTAGTATTATGCAATGTTTTCTTCAATCAGGCAAATATTTATAAAGATACAATGCACAGATGTTTGCTATCTTCCTTCATGACTCCCTCACTGAGAAATGTTGAATCGTCACAGTTAATGTTCGGTACAGCTGAACGTCACAAAGTCAAGTCTGTTTATCCGCAGCCAGAGAAGGCCATCGAGATCTACGAACAGGCTCTGAAGAAAAACCCCAAAGATGGAGCTCTGGCCAGCAAGATTGGGAAAGCTCTTGTCAAGACTCACAATTACGTCAAGGTTTGTATACTAACTAGGGAGCTACACTGAGGCGTCGGGAAAACAGTAGCTGCTACACTGGATGTGTAACTTTTTGCCGTACAAGCCACTTCATCAAGTGTTCTCGGGAGTGAGGCGCACATCAAATTATTACAAATAAATCCAGAGCGTAATTTTACGCTAAGCAATGCGATCCTCTCACAGCCGTGCTCCTTACTCCCAGGTTTCATTGAAATAAATTGGAGTGTCTTAGGCTCTGCAAAAGTTACGTGTCCAGTGTAGCAGGCCTGTAAGAAAAAAACATTCAAAGATCAATCTATAGTAGTCATTAGCTATATGATTCACCTCTGTTATTCACAGGCAATCAATTACTATGAAGCTGCTCTGAAGACTGAGCAGCAGAACTTCCTGCGATATGACCTGGCTGAACTGCTTATGAAGATGAGACAGTACGAGAGGTGCGAGAAAGTTTTACAAGAGGCGCTCGCCCATGACCCAGGTAAGCTGGACATCATTGCAACAATTTTGAACATTTTGTATGTTAAATTCTATGTTTTGTTGTTGGTCATAAATTACAATGATAATACATAGTTACTTATGTAGCGCTTTTCCAACTTCTCACTCTTGTCGCCTTGTGTTGTTTTGTCTAGTAAATGAGCTGCCGTCGCTAACCGATGATTGTCGCTATCTGGTCCTGTTGGCCAAGATCCATGGCAAGGTTGACAAAAACGAGGATGCTTTACTTTCCTTGCAAAGAGTAAGTCTTCTGATATTGTAAAAGCCATTCTGCTAAGCAATGAGAGAAACTGAAATAACTGAAATATATTATTATGATAATTTCTAAGATTGAAAATCTGTCAAGGTCTCCCCTAAAATACATGCATAATTCACAACATTGCTATTTCTTAGCTATACTCTGAACCCAGACTTGTGTTTCTTTTAGGCCCGGGATGTGCAGGCCAAGGTGTTGAAGCGGGTGCAGTTGGAGCAGCCAGACGCTGTCTCCATGCAGAAGCAGCTCGCTGCAGAGATCTGTGGCGAGATCGCTAAACACTACACAAGTCTTAGAGGCTATGAGAGAGCAGTGAAATTCTACAAAGAAGCTCTTGTCTATTGTGAGAGTGATGGCAAGGTCGGTGCAGCTGAATCAAACCTTCAGTGTGTGTGCTCCCTGCAGCTGTATTTGTGAATCCCTAGCATCCTTTTTTCCCCCTCTCTGTGCTGTTTTTGTATTTTCTAATTTGCTTATTACGATAGTTTAGCATGTTTGCAATTACTAAATGTTTATAATTACATTAAAATCTATTTTTAACAATGTGTAAATGTGTGTTTAATGCCAGCAAGGCATACTGCTACATTTGCTCATAGGAAATTATATTATAATTATGATGTTAGAAGGTAATCGGTTAACAAAGTTTAATTCAATTGAATGCTTTCATTGTTACCAGGTGATGCTGGAGCTGGCACGGTTGTACCTCACTCTAGATGATGTGGATGGTTGCCAACAGCAATGCAGTGTCCTTCTGAAGAGTGACCAGGTCAATGAAGATGCAACACTGGTTAGTTATATATGCCATTTCTGTCAAGTCCCAAAGGAAAATCCTATTGTAAAACTTGATTGTTTTACAAACTTCTCTGTTTCCTCGTAGATGATGGCTGACCTGATGTTCAGGAAGCAGGACTATGAGCAAGCCGTTTTCCACTTTCAGCAGCTACTGGAGCGCAAACCAGGTGTGACAGGGCTCTGTTTCTCTTAGGTCTGAATACACAACTTCCCCCCTGAAATAGAATTTAAATGGGGATTTGTAAAGCTTGAAAAGCAGAAGAACCTCAATGTAAATATGCACTGCTGATTTGACCTCCCCTGGATGGGAAGTAATGTCTTTACCATATGTTCCTGCTAGACAACTACCAAACACTGTCACGTCTAATCGACCTGCTGAGGAGAGCTGGGAAGTTAGAGGAAGTTCCCAGGTTTCTGGAGATGGCTGAAAAACATTCCTCCAGGGCCAAGTTTGACCCTGGGTTTAACTACTGCAAAGGACTTTATCTGTGGTAAGTTCATTAATCAAAAGTATCTTTAGCTAGAATGATTATGGTGTCTTTTTAATAATGAAGTTGTAATTGGTGCCCAGGTACACAGGTGAACCCAATGATGGGTTGCGACACTTCAACAAGGCACGGAAAGACAACGACTGGGGTCAGAATGCTGTGTACAACATGATTGAGATCTGTCTTAACCCAGACAATGACACTATGGGAGGAGAAGTCTTTGAGAACCTAGATGGTGACATGGGGTGAGTAACATGTGCAGTAATAGTCATGTCTTTCAATGAACATGTGAATATTAGCTGTGGGGATGTTTTTTTTTTTTATGCTTACAGTGACAATACACTGAGTGTACAACACATTAGTGTACAAAACTCTTTCAATGACATAGACTGACCAGGTGAACGCTGTGATCCCTAATTGATGTCACTTGTTAAATCCACTTCAATCAGTGTAGATGAACAATTTCCCACGTGTATCAAGAATGGTCCACCACCCAAAGGACATCCAGCCGACTTGACACAACTGTGGGAAACATTGGAGTCAACATGAGCCAGCATCACTGTTGAACGCTTTTGACACCTTGTAGAGTCCAAGCCCCGACGAATTGAGGCTGTTCTGAGGTCAAAAGGGGGGAAGGGTGCAACTCAATATTAGGAAGGTGTTCATAATGTTTTGTACACTCAGTGTATATCTTAGCTAAAACACAAATCCTTATGTCCATGTTATTCTTGCTCATTTATCTGGCTGTCAAGTTGTCATTGATGTAAATGCGCTTCATTTTCCATTCTCATCTATGCTCAGGAACTCTACTGAGAAGCAGGAGTCAGAGCAGCTCGCCGTGAGGACAGCAGAGAAGCTCCTGAAGGAGTTAAAGCCCCAGACAGCCGGTGGACACGTCCAACTACGGATCCTAGAGAACTACTGCTTTCTGGCCACCAAGCAGAAAGCCAACGTCGAAAAAGCCCTGAATGTTTTCACAGAGATTGCAAACAATGAGGTAAGTCAACTCCAGATGGTGTACATAAGTGTGCTCACACACACCCTTAGAGCAAATCTAACATCACTACGCGGGTGCATTATCTCAGGCTTTCTCTTTGCTTTACACTTTATTGATGCTTACTTTGGAGGTTTTCTTAACAGCTTAGTTATTGAGGAACGTACTATGTATTTAACATAGTAAGATAACTTGTGTAAGAGAATATCCTGTTGCGCAAATAGAATCCTCGCTGACAAGGAAACTTTCTTGTTTGTATTTTTGGATACTCTTGTCTACTTCATAGAAATAGAGAGAAATGTTAGATCTGATTCACCGTAAAACAACACCTAGCTAACCAGAGCTCTCTGTTTTAACTTAGAAGGACCATGTGCCTGCACTGCTAGCCATGGCGACAGCCTACATGATTCTCAAACAAACCCCTCGAGCCAGGAACCAGCTCAAACGCGTAGCTAAGATGAACTGGAGCATTGTTGATGCTGACGAGTTTGAGAAGAGCTGGCTGCTCCTGGCTGACATCTACATCCAGTCAGGGAAATATGACATGGCCGGGGACCTCTTGAAGAGATGCCTTCGCCATAATAAGGTCAATGCATACCCTTGATCAAAACATATCAGAATTAATTTGAGTCACTCACAGTAACAGTCATTGTTAATTTTCACAGTCATGCTGTAAAGCTTATGAATACATGGGCTACATTATGGAGAAGGAGCAGGCATTCCGGGATGCAGCGCTGAACTATGAAATGGCCTGGAAATATGGCAATCAAACGAACCCCACTATAGGTATGTTTAAGGACATCTTGTACTTGCTGCCATTTAGTAATTAGTAATTTAGATATATAACAGTATATTAATATAAGTATGTGTTTGTCCCAGGATACAAGCTTGCATTCAACTACCTGAAAGCAAAGAGGCATGTTGATGCCATAGATGTCTGTCATAAGGTAAGTTGAAATCATAGCTTCACATGTTATTTATGTTGAAATAAGATTTGTGTAAAAATGTGATTTGTTTACGTGTTGTCATTGGATAACATCCTATACATAAACTAAATATTCATGTTTGCTTTAGGTTTTGGATGCGCACCCCAATTATCCAAGGATGAGGAAGGACATCTTGGACAAAGCTCGGGCAGCTTTGCGGTCTTAACATAAATGTATTAGCGAGAGAGAGTGCGTATCTTTTTTGATGTGTTTTGTTGACATGTACTTAGCTAAGTATTTGGATGTAATTATAAAGGGAATGTTGGAGGGATGAGAGACAGTGATTTTTATAAATGTGATTACAATACAAAACACATTGTTAGTGTTTTTCTTACAATACAATAAAAACAGTGCCTCTGTTTCAACACTAAAGAAATACGTATTGCTTTGCAATAAATGTCAGAGTTAAATCTTAATTGTACACCTTATTAACATGTCTGCTCTCCTATATAATGACATGGTGTGTGTGTGTCATTTGGGACACAAACGCGGTCAATTATTTCCAGGTTAATGAATATGAACATCCAACTCAGTGCCACATGGACTCGATCTAGATGTTGTGGTATCATCCACACTGGTGATAGTGTTTTTTTTAAATTATATATACATGGTTGTTACTTTTTAATGAAGGGAAATGCCACTCTAGGAGTTGCCAACTAGACAGCACACTCCCATAAGGAGGTTGAGGCTACTATTAAATATTGACTGCCAAGTCACACACCCGTAAGTCTTGTACCAGTAATGACCCATAACTTGTCATTCAAATGTATTTCTTTCCAAAAGTATTTGCACAGTTATCTATTAAGTTTAGGTTATAAAAACGCCAAGTAGCCTACATTATGCCAATTATCAGTGTAATGACAAATAATATTGAAACGTTCACACACACACACTAATGGAAATTGTATGCAGTGACTATGTTTAGTAAAGCATTGATATTAAGAATCTAGAATGAATATAACACCATTGTTTAGGTTACTTCTGTGTTATGGTCATACAGTGCATTCGGAAAGTATTCAGACGCCTTCCCTTTTAACACATTTTGTTACAGCCTTATTCTAAAATTGATTAAATAAAAAATGTTCCTCATCAATCTACACACAATAACCCATAGTGACAAAGTGAGAACAGGTTTTTAGAAATGTTTGCAAATATATTAAAAATAAAAAAACAGAAATACCTTATTTATATAAATATTCAGACCCTTTGCTATGAGACTTGAAATTTAGCTCAGGTGCATCCTGTTTCCATTGATCATCCTTGAGATGTTTATACAACTTGATTGGACTCCACCTGTGGTAAATTCAGTTGATTGGACATGATTTGGAAAGGCACACACCTGTCTATATAAGGTCCCACAGTTGACAGTGCATGTCAGAGCAAAAACCAAAGCCATGAGGTCGACGGAATTGTTGTAGAGCTCTGAGACAGGATTGTGTCAAGGCACAGATCTGGGGAAGGGTACAAAAACATTTCTGTAGCATTGAAGGTCCCCAAAAACACAGTGGCCTCCCTCATTCTTAAATGGAAGAAGTTTGGAACCACCAAGACTCTTCCTAGAGCTGGCCAAACTGAACAATCGGGGGAGAAGGGCCTTGGTCAGGGAGTTGACCAAGAACCCGATGGTCACTCTGACAGAGCTTCAGAGTTCCTCTGTGGAGATGGGAGAACCTTTCAGGACAACCATCTCTGCAGCACTCCACCAATCAGGCCTTTATGGTAGAGGGGCCAGACGGAAGCCACTCCTCAGTAAAAGGCACATGACAGCCCGCTTGGAGTTTGCCAAAAGGCACCTAAAGGACTCTCAGACCATGAGAAACAAGATTCTCTGGTCTGATGAAACCAAGATTGAACTCTTTGGCCTGAATGCCAAGTGGCACGTTTGGAGGAAACCTGGCACAATCCCTATGGTGAAGCATGGCGGTGGCAGCATCAGGCTGTGGGGATGTATTTCAGCGGCAGGGACTGGGAGACTAGTCAGGATCGAGGGAAAGATGAACGGAGCAAAGTACAGAGCGATCCTTGATGAAAACCTGCTCCAGAGCGCTCAGGATCACCTTCCAGCAGGACAAGGACCCTAAGCACACAGCCAAGACAACATTCTCTGAATGTCCTTGAGTGGCCCAGCCAGAGCCCGGACTTGAACCCGATCGAACATCTCTGGAGAGACCTGAAAATAGCTGTGCAGCGACGTTCCCCATCCAGCTTGACAGAGCTTGAGAGGATCTGCAGAGAAGAATGGGAGAAACTCCCCAAATACAGGTGTGCCAAGCTTGTAGCCTCATACCCAAGAAGACTTGAGACTGTAATCGCTGCTGAAGGTGCTTCAACAAAGTACTAAGTAAAGGGTCTGAATATTTATTTAAATGTGATATTTCCGTTTTTTATGTTTAATACATTTGCAAAAAATTCTAAACCTGTTTTTGCTTTGACATTATGGGGTATTGTGTGTAGATTTAATCAATTCTAAAATATGGCTGTAACAAATTGTGGAAAAAGTCAAGTGGTCTGAATACTTTCCGAATGCACTTTATTCGCATAAACTATTCGCCTATTTCAACTATGATATATAAGAGACCGACTACTCCTGCATATGAAAAAGTCACTTCCACAACTCGGTGCGATTGTGATGTGTAGGCTAAGTACCAAGAAGGAGAGGAGAACAGTCATGGTGAATTGTGTCCCACGTTGATCCTACTTGAAAAGACTCCTACTGCGCACCGGAGTATTCCTCCTCCGAATGGCTACGGTGTCCACGTCTTATCTTTACGCCCTCAAGCATCGAACACTTTATGAATACCGTCTGCCAGGGGTGACTTGGCAAACAGGAATATGTTGGGATATGTCTCAGAGAGTCCAACATATTCGGTGAGTGGCAGATGTTCACTCATTCCTTTTCTTAAGCCTTGAGATACAAATTCAAGGTTGGACTTTGATTCTATTGTAAACCGTAACATTAAACGTATTTGCCTGTCGTGTAATTCTCTTTACCATCTGACAAGTTCTATAGCTTTCTTAGACAAGCCTACTGTAGGATACTTTGTAACAGATGCGCAATTCTGATAAACAGTTCGAGTTCTTATTGTATTAGGCCTACTATAAATCAGCACTTGTACATAATCTAACACAGCTCATGCCCGATTTTGATCTTTAAAAAAAAGTTTGTCCTCACTTATTTCTGCAGTGTAGGCTATTGGCTAACCCGTATTCTGTAAGCGACCCGTTATTCTTCTAGCCTGATTGGATGCAGTGCCTATGAGAGCGGTATAGGATATGTTCCTCCGCTATTTGTAACCCAGCAACAGTCTCAATGAATGGCTGGCTGAACAAATCCATTATTTTAAGAATTGACACCATTATTAGATCAGACGTATCCCGCGGTGTAGACTATTTCCAATACTGCCTGAGACAATTACTTTGCAAGAGAACACTTTTTAATTTATTTAACCAAACGGGGCACAGCGAGGTATAGCTTTGTAGCTGAAGTAAATCAAAGTGACTTTTGCAACTGACACAAATAGACTCATAGTTCATGCGCCAAATGACACATTCATAATTTTTAAGCCGCTGTTTTGCAATGTTTCACTAATGTAACAAATGGCATGACTGTAGGGCTTTGACACAGGGAGATCCTCTCTACGCACGCGTGCCAAATATGATGGTTCCACCCTCTACCTGAAAGGAGCGCACCTGGATCCAACGAGACGGAAGTAGTTTGCAGAGATTGAGAAACGCTGCAGAACTGTGATGACTGTAGTCTTTTTGGGCAACAATTACTCTGGAATTCCACATATTTTGAAGAGGATTTTCTTTTCGCGATATGCTCGACATAATCTGATGGACTTTTTAATCGATAATTTGGAGTGCATTTCCAATCCTTTTTTTGTAACGTCCTCGTAAGTCATCGTTTTCCCGAAAGGAACGTGAAACTGCAGTACCATGACAAGAACATTTTTATAGGATCCTGATCTATCCTATCATTTAGTAGACTGCTGTACAGTAGAACGTTCTCCAACTCTTTTGTTGAACAGTAGGTTGTGGAGCAAAACAATCAATATTGTTACATTCCTGCTTGTGGATGGTCATAATTAAAAGTGACATGGCATGTAACAGTTCAGTATGTTCTCAGCTTTGAAGAAATACGTGTTTTCCATTCATGCAAGACTGAGTTTTGTGATCCTGCTTTTTGCCTCTGTGACAAATGTGTCAAATAAACATTCTTTCTTACTTTTTAAGGTTACCTCCTCTGGTGGTGCAACTGACTGTGTTAGGTGAAGTGCTGTCTCAAAGCTATCTACCCCACACATCTCCAGAAGAATGAGTGGTCTCCGCAGAGTTCTCGGAAGGCGATTACACCCTTTAAAACTGGTGATAGTGGCCCTTATTTTTGTCACATTTCTGTTCCTAATACAACGTGAGGTAGTAAGCCAAAGTCCCTCCCAAGAAGAGCCCTGGCTGAAGGAGATGTCTGTCAAACGGGATGCCGTGCTGGGCATGGTGATGGGGGCCGTTAATAACTTTAGGGATGCCATGCCAAAGATGCAGATCAAAGCCCCAGTGCGTCAGCAGGAAAATGCAGGGGACTTCTCCTGTTTGCCAGGGACCTACACGGCTGCTGAGCTGAGGCCAGCTCTGGAGCGTCCACCTCAGGACCCCAACAGCCCTGGGGCCTCTGGGAAGCCCTTTCACACGGATAAACTGAGCCCTGCTGAACAGAAGGAGAAGGACCGGGGAGAGGAGAAACACTGCTTTAACCTCTACGCCAGCGACCGCATTTCTCTCAGCCGTGACCTGGGTCCTGACACCAGACCACCAGAGTATGTTATCTCTCAATAATAAACTGGCCATTTTTATGCTCTTATGGTAGCTGTCACAGTTGTTTCCATATACATGCTCTAAAATCAGTGGTGGAAAAAGTACCCAATTATCATACTTGAGTAAAAGTAAAGATACTTTTACTTGAGTCATTTTCTATTAAGGTAAGTCACCCAGTAAAATACTACTTGACTAAAAGTATCTGGTTTTAAATGTACAGTGGTGGAAAAAGTACTCAATTGTCATACTTCAGTAAAAGTACAAAGGAAAAGTAAATGCTATATATATATATATCAAATTCCTTATATTAAGCAAACCAAATGCCACTATTTTAAAATATTTTTTTTCGGACAGACGGGCACAATCAGACATAATTTACAAACGCAGTATTTGTGTTTAGTGAGTCCACCAGGTTAGAGGCAGTAGGGAGGACAAGGTGTTATATTTATAGGTGGGTGAATTGGACCATAATTATGTCCTGCCTGAGCATTAGAACTGTAACAAGTACTTTTTGGTGTCAGGGAAAAACGTATGGGAGTAAAAAGTACATATTTTCTTTAGTAATGTAGTGAAGTAAAAGCTGTCAAATATAAATACCCCACAAAAACTACTTTAGTAGTACTTCAAAGTATTTTTTACTTAAGTACTTTACCCCACTGTCTAAAATGTATTGTCGCAGTGCTATTTGTTTCGGTTTAAACCAACGTAGTCATGTAAAAATGTAGAGTCAATCTTGGGGTCTGTGGCCCTGTTTATGATAATTCTATCATTATAGGGTATCTTGTAAAACATCCTAATATGAAGCCAACATCTCAAGTGGAGTTTCTCCTCATCACATACAGTGAGGGGAAAAAAGTATTTGATCCCCTGCTGATTTTGTACGTTTGCCCACTGACAAATAAATGATCAGTCTATAATTTTAATGGTAGGTTTATTTGAACAGTGAGAGACAGAATAACAACAAAAAAATCCAGAAAAACGCATGTCAAAAATGTTATAAATTGATTTGCATTTTAATAAGGGAAATAAGTATTTGACCCCCTCTCAATCAGAAAGATGTCTGGCTCCCAGGTGTCTTTTATACAGGTAACGAGCTGAGATTAGGAGCACACTCTTAAAGGGAGTGCTCCTAATCTCAGTTTGTTACCTGTATAAAAGAAACCTGTCCACAGAAGCAATCAATCAGATTCCAAACTCTCCACCATGGCCAAGACCAAAGAGCTCTCCAAGGATGTCAGGGACAAGATTGTAGACCTACACAAGGCTGGAATGGGCTACAAGACCATCGCCAAGCAGCTTGGTGAGAAGGTGACAACAGTTGGTGCGATTATTCGCAAATGGAAGAAACACAAAATAACTGTCAATCTCCCTCGGCCTGGGGCTCCATGCAAGATCTCACTTCGTGGAGTTTCAATGATAATGAGAACGGTGAGGAATCAGCCCAGAACTACACGGGAGGATCTTGTCAATGATCTCAAGGCAGCTGGGACCATAGTCACCAAGAAAACAATTGGTAACACACTACGCCGTGAAGGACTGAAATCCTGCAGCGCCCGCAAGGTCCCCCTGCTCAAGAAAGCACATATACAGGCCCGTCTGAAGTTTGCCAATGAACATCTGAATGATTCAGAGGAGAACTGGGTGAAAGTGTTGTGGTCAGATGAGACCAAAATCGAGCTCTTTGGCATCAACTCAACTCGCCGTGTTTGGAGGAGGAGGAATGCTGCCTATGACCCCGAGAACACCATCCCCACCGTCAAACATGGAGGTGGAAACATTATGCTTTGGGGGTGTTTTTCTGCTAAGGGGACAGGACAACTTCACCGCATCAAAGGGACGATGGACGGGGCCTTGTACCGTCAAATCTTGGGTAAGAACCTCCTTCCCTCAGCCAGGGCATTGAAAATGGGTCGTGGATGGGTATTCCAGCATGACAATGACCCAAAACACATGGCCAAGGCAACAAAGGAGTGGCTCAAGAAGAAGCACTTTAAGGTCCTGGAGTGGCCTAGCCAGTCGCCAGACCTTAATTCCATAGAAAATCTGTGGAGGGAGCTGAAGGTTCGAGTTGCCAAACGTCAGCCTCAACCTTAATGACTTGGAGAAGATCTGCAAAGAGGAGTGGCACAAAATCCCTCCTGAGATGTGTGCAAACCTGGTGGCCAACTACAAGAAACGTCTGACCTTTGTGATTGCCAACAAGGGTTTTGCCACCAAGTACTAAGTCATGTTTTGCAGAGGGGTCAAATACTTATTTCCCTCATTAAAATGCAAATCAATTTATAACATTTTTGACATGCGTTGTTCTGGATTTTTTTGTTGTTATTCTGTCTCTCACTGTTCAAATAAACCTACCATAAAAATTATAGACTGATCATTTCTTTGTCAGTGGGCAAACGTACAAAATCAGCAGGGGATCAAATACTTTTTTCCCTCACTGTAGCAGCACCATCTGGTGGTGTTCAATAGAACAGTTTCTCTGTACAGGGATTCAGTGTCCGTATACTTTTATTTCTTGTCTCAGTGGCTCAATATGAAACCAAAGTCACATACTGAATGACCACAGAAGGAAGGAGATAACAACATTATATAATGTGTCTCCAACAGAAATTACGGTTTTAACTCAAACAAGTCTTTGATATTTTCTTGAGTTATTGAGGAAAATTTCACTCTAACCACAGGCTGAGTTTTTCTGTCTGAAACATTGTTTCAGCATGTGTGCCCAGTAAATGTGTCTGGGTCAAGAAAAAGTGGAGTTTTGTTTGGCTAATTAAACAAGTCTGTCCATTTTCCTATTATTTTTATTGGGGTAATTTACACAGATTCAGACTGTCTGATGCGGTTGGCATTTCAAAGGGAGTCCCACATCCCAATGAAACAACTGAAACAGACACCCCTTTAGGGGAAGACTTCAGATGTTTCAACCACAGTCCTGCACTGAAAGGCCTCTCGGGGACCCAAAAAGACACTACATGTTTCTTAATGCTCTTTTGCAGATGTATCGAGCAAACGTTCAAGCGGTGTCCCCCCTTGCTGACCACCAGCGTGATCATTGTGTTTCACAACGAAGGCTGGAGCACTCTGCTGAGGACGGTGTACAGCGTCCTCCACACCTCCCCTGCCATCTTCCTGAAGGAGATCATCCTGGTGGATGATGCCAGTGTGGACGGTAAGGAACTAACTGGCCAGCCAGGCAGACGGCAGGACCACCCTGATTTCACTTGGAATTGATTTCAGTCAGTCAGCCTACTGGGCGGCCCGCTGGTGCCATGAAATGTGCAGGCTGGAACCCCAGCTTCTTGTGAAGGGGGTTACAGCAGGAAGCAGCGCTGCTAGTGAATACTTTCCTAAGAGGGGCTAGCTAGTACGTGGTGGTGTGGAGAAATGTGTCTGTTTTCTCTTGTAAACAGGCCCCAGGCTGAGGGAAACGAGGCTGAGGGTAAAAAGATGAGGGAGCAGGGAATGCAGCCCAACTGAGTGACACTCAAAACCCTCTGTCATTTGTTGGGAATAGCCTGCTATTAGACGTCTGTACTAAAGCTATTTCCCTGGCCCAATAGGATAGGCTAGGAACTGGTCAGGCAAACTTGGCAGCTAGCCATGGTCTCTGTCAAATCAAATGAAATCAAATGTTATTTGCCACATGCGCCGAATACAACAGGTGTAGACATTACAGTGAAATGCTTACTTACAAGCCCTTAACCAACAATGCAGTTTTTTAAAGAAAAATGTAAAATAAAGTGTTAATACAAAAATAAAAAGCAAATACAGTGAGGGGAAAAAAGTATTTGATCCGCTGCTGATTTTGTACGTTTGCCCACTGACAAAGAAATGATCAGTCTATAATTTTAATGATAGGTTTATTTGAACAGTGAGAGACAGAATAACAACAAAAAAATCCAGAAAAACGCATGTCAAAAATGTTATGAATTGATTTGCATTTTAATGAGGGAAATAAGTATTTGACCCCCTCTCAATCAGAAAGATTTCTGGCTCCCACATGTCTTTTATACAAGTAACGAGCTGAGATTAGGAGCACACTCTTAAAGGGAGTGCTCCTAATCTCAGCTTGTTACCTGTATAAAAGACACCTGTCCACAGAAGCAATCAATCAATCAATCAGATTCCAAACTCTCCACCATGGCCAAGACCAAAGAGCTCTCCAAGGATGTCAGGGACAAGATTGTAGACCTACACAAGGCTGGAATGGGCTACAAGACCATCGACCAAAATAACTGTCAATCTCCCTCGGCCTGGGGCTCCATGCAAGATCTCACCTCGTGGAGTTGCAATGATCATGAGAACGGTGAGGAATCAGCCCAGAACTACACGGGAGGATCTTGTCAATGATCTCAAGGCAACTGGGACCATAGTCACCAAGAAAACAATTGGTAACACACTACGCCGTGAAGGACTGAAATCCTGCAGCGCCCGCAAGGTCCCCCTGCTCAAGAAAGCACATATACAGGCCCGTCTGAAGTTTGCCAATGAACATCTGAATGATTCAGAGGAGAACTGAGTGAAAGTGTTGTGGTCAGATGAGAACAAAATCGAGCTCTTTGGCATCAACTCAACTCACCGTGTTTGGAGGAGGAGGAATGCTGCCTATGACCCCAAGAACACCATCCCCACCGTCAAACATGGAGGTGGAAACATTATGCTTTGGGGGTGTTTTTCTGCTAAGGGGACAGGACAACTTCACCGCATCAAAGGGACGATGGACGGGGCCATGTACCGTCAAATCTTGGGTGAGAACCTCCTTCCCTCAGCCAGGGCATTGAAAATGGGTCGTGGATGGGTATTCCAGCATGACAATGACCCAAAACACACGGCCAAGGCAACAAAGGAGTGGCTCAAGAAGAAGCACATTAAGGTCCTGGAGTGGCCTAGCCAGTCTCCAGACCTTAATCCCATAGAAAATCTGTGGAGTGAGCTGAAGCTTTGACTTGCCAAACGTCAGCCTCGAAACCTTAATGACTTGGAGAAGATCTGGGACAAAATCCCTCCTCAGATGTGTGCAAACCTGGTGGCCAACTACAAGAAACATCTGACCTCTGTGATTGCCAACAAGGGTTTTGCCACCAAGTACTAAGTCATGTTTTGCAGAGGGGTCAAATACTTATTTCCCTCATTTAAATTGCAAATCAATTCATAACATTTTTGACATGCATTTTTCTGTATTATTGTGTTGTTATTCTGTCTATCACTGTTTAAATAATGATATAGACTGATCATGTCTTTGTCAGTGGGCAAACGTACAAAATCAGCAGGGGATCAAATACTTTTTTCCCTCACTGTAGCTAAAGAGCAGCAGTAAAATAAAATAGCAGTAGGGAGGCTATATACAGGGGGGTACCGGTGCAGAGTCAATGTGCGGGGGCACTGGCTAGTCGAGGTAATTGAGGTCATATGTACATGTGGGTAGAGTTAAAGTGACTATGCATAAATAATTAACAGAGTAGCAGCAGCGTAAAAAGATGGGGTGGGGGGGCAGTGCAAATAGTCCGGGTAGCCATGATTAGCTGTTCAGGAGTCTTATGGCTTGGGGGTAGAAGCTGTTGAGAAGCCTTTTGGACCTAGACTTGGCGCTCCGGTACCGCTTGCCGTGCGGTAGCAGAGAGAACAGTCTATGACTAGGGTGGCTTGAGTCTTTGACTGGCTGTCTGTCTGTGTTGAAGGGGCCAAGCTCAGGTAGAGGCCAACTCTCCCAGAAACAGTGTCACTGAGGCAGGAATTTGAGCAAAATATGTTACAAGATCCATCTACTGTATCTTTACTGTCCGTTATAGATCTGCAGTTCCAATGCTATGGGCTCATTTCCTTTCACAGACGCCTTGAAAGAGGAGTTGGATGAGTATTTGAAGCGGCTACACATCGTGCGCGTGGTGCGTCAGCGGGAGAGAAAGGGCCTGATCACCGCTCGGCTACTGGGAGCCTCGGTGGCCACCGGAGACATCCTCACTTTCCTCGATGCTCACTGTTAGTACACGTACACCCACACCCCAGTACAGACGTCAAACAACTGAGTCATCAGGCTGGAACAACCAGAACAGCTCTGCCTTTTAGACACACCTGTTTATTTATCCACCTACACCCCAGAATACTAGCACCATGCATATGCTGTTTAGGGCATGGCAGGAAAACCACAAAACATTATTAGTATTGGAATGTAACATATCTTCGGGTAGGCTGCTTCCGGTTGGCCAGGGAAAATATCAAATTAGTGTTAAATGTAGTTGTTTTTACACAACAGCCTTCTATGTTCCTTGCCAATGTAGTATTTCACATTTAAAATGCTATGTTATTTAGTGGTTGTATTTTATGTCTGGTGGTGAATGCGTATCCAACAGGTGAATGCTTCAATGGCTGGCTGGAGCCTCTACTGGCCAGGATAGCAGAGAACTACACTGCGGTAGTAAGTCCTGACATCACTACCATTGACCTCAACACCTTTGAGTTTATGAAGCCCTCGCCGTACGGGCAGAACCACAACCGTGGTAACTTCGACTGGGGCCTGTCCTTCGGCTGGGAGAGTCTACCGGACCACGAAAAACAACGGAGGAAGGATGAGACCTATCCTATCAAGTGAGAAGAACTATGTGAATGATTGAATGCCTATTTTCAGGAGGAAATGCTGGCATGCCAAACACCTCTGTCTATATTCCTTGATAGCTGGTTATGAATTGTTTATTTTTTTAACTGAGTGTAAAACATATCTGGACCCTCCATTCAGTGGATATCTTTTACCTCACAGGACACCAACTTTTGCTGGGGGACTCTTCTCAATCTCCAAGGACTACTTCTATCTCATCGGAAGCTATGATGAACAAATGGAAATCTGGGGCGGAGAGAATATTGAAATGTCTTTCAGAGTATGAGCTGATTCACTTGGCTTTCTAGTTAGAAAACTTGTATTAGTGCCATCGCTGCTATTGTTTGTGATTCATTCTCTATCTTTGTATTGTGCGGTAGAACCGAACCAACCGGTTACCAAGTATGACTAACAGTATTGGGTGTGTTGCCTCTGTCTGCCTGTAGGTGTGGCAGTGTGGGGGTCAGCTAGAAATCATCCCTTGCTCCATCGTGGGTCACGTGTTCCGCACAAAGAGCCCCCACACCTTCCCCAAGGGCACCCAGGTGATCGCACGTAACCAGGTGCGGCTGGCCGAGGTTTGGATGGACGACTACAAGGAAATCTTCTACCGACGCAACCAGCAAGCCGCCCAGCTGGCCAAAGACGTATGTGGTATTTCGGAGTGACATTGTTGTACGTTTAAACCCAGCTAGGCAGGTTGATATCCCAAGAAATAGGACCGGAGTTCTAAAACAGTTAATCTGTTCCCTAAAGTAATGTTTTAACAGTAGCAGTTTGCTCTGGAATGTTTGCCCTCCACTATATCTCACATGGACATATGAATGTTCTCATTCTGACTGCAGACTACTTGTTACCCCCCTCGTAGGACAAGTTTGGGCAGCCACACACTGGGCCTGGGCCCAGGCTGTCTGTTGGTTATGTATAGCCTGGACAAAGTCTGATCACAGTTGAATGTGCAAACACATTCTCCTGAGGGGAACATACATTTTGAGGTCCCTAGTACAGTGGGGAAAAAAAGTATTTAGTCAGCCACCAATTGTGCAAGTTCTCCCACTTAAAAAGATGAGAGAGGCCTGTAATTTTCATCATAGGTACACGTCAACTATGACAGACAAATTGAGAAAAAATGTTCCAGAAAATCACATTGTAGGATTTTTAATGAATTTATTTGCAAATTATGGTGGAAAACAAGTATTTGGTCACCTACAAACAAGCAAGATTTCTGGCTCTCACAGACCTGTAACTTCTTCTTTAAGAGGCTCCTCTGTCCTCCACTCGTTACCTGTATTAATGGCACCTGTTTGAACTTGTTATCAGTATAAAAGACACCTGTCCAGAACCTCAAACAGTCACACTCCAAACTCCACTATGGCCACGACCAAAGAGCTGTCAAAGGACACCAGAAACAAAATTGTAGACCTGCACCAGACTGGGAAGACTGAATCTGCAATAGGTAAGCAGCTTGGTTTGAAGAAATCAACTGTGGGAGCAATTATTAGGAAATGGAAGACATACAAGACCACTGATAATCTCCCTCGATCTGGGCTCCACGCAAGATCTCACCCCGTGGGGTCAAAATGATCACAAGAACGGTGAGCAAAAATCCCAGAACCACACGGGGGGACCTAGTGAATGACCTGCAGAGAGCTGGGACCAAAGTAACAAAGCCTACCATCAGTAACACACTACGCCGCCAGGGACTCAAATCCTGCAGTGCCAGACATGTCCCCCAGCTTAAGCCAGTACATGTCCAGGCCCGTCTGAAGTTTGCTAGAGTGCATTTGGATGATCCAGAAGAGGATTGGGAGAATGTCATATGGTCAAATGAAAACAAAATATAACTTTTTGGTAAAAACTCAACTCGTCGTGTTTGGAGGACAAAGAATGCTGAGTTGCATCCAAAGAACACCATACCTACTGTGAAGCATGGGGGTGGAAACATCATGCTTTGGGGCTGTTTTTCTGCAAAGGGACCAGGACGACTGATCCGTGTAAAGGAAAGAATGAATGGGGCCATGTATCGTGAGATTTTGAGTGAAAACCTCCTTCCATCAGCAAGGGCATTGAAGATGAAACGTGGCTGGGTCTTTCAGCATGACAATGATCCCAAACACACCGCCCGGGAAACGAAGGAGTGGCTTCATAAGAAGCATTTCAAGGTCCTGGAGTGGCCTAGCCAGTCTCCAGATCTCAACCCCATAGAAAATCTTTGGAGGGAGTTGAAAGTCCGTGTTGCCCAGCGACAGCCCCAAAACATCACTGCTCTAGAGGAGATCTGCATGGAGGAATGGGCCAAAATACCAGCAACAGTGTGTGAAAACCTTGTGAAGACTTACAGAAAATGTTTGACCTGTGTCATTGCCAACAAAGGGTATATAACAAAGTATTGAGAAACTTTTGTTATTGACCAAATACTTATTTTCCACCATAATTTGCAAATAAATTCATAAAAAATCCTACAATGTGATTTTCTGGATTTTTTTCTTTCTAATTTTGTCTGTCATAGTTGACGTGTACCTATGATGAAAATTACAGGCCTCTCTCATCTTTTTAAGTGGGAGAACTTGCACAATTGGCGGCTGACTAAATACTTTTTTTCCCCACTGTATGTACCGTAGAACTATGCCACAATGTGAAATAAGTACAAATGAATAGTATCCTTTTGAGGAAAACCTTCTGCCAGGCTCGAGGCTATTAGGCAGGAAGGGAAGCCCTTTGGAGTTAGCAGTCTGCTACATGACATAGATTTGTAGTGCTGCTGCATCTCAACAGATAACAGGTTTTATCATCTCCATGTCATAAACAGTTCCCCTCAGGCCATGTGTAGTTACGTACCTCAGAGTGAACCAGGCCAAGAGGCCTCTCCTGCTGCCTTCAAACAGCCCCTGTGTCTTTAACAGCTTCAAGGAGCACAGCTACAGTTGTTATCAGCACACTGCTGTTTACAGCATCCGCGTCATTATCTCTCTCAAATGCTCTCATTACTGAATACCTGCCTGGAGAAGCTCTCTGATCCTTGAAATACTCTGCGTTTGTACTGGCAATCGGTGAACCAATGACTGAGCAATGGCTGCATGCATTCTTTTGAAATGTTGATTGCATTAATTAATTTAAATGAAGTAAAGAGGAAAAAGTCAGACATTTCTGGACTAGAGGGTTCATAATTTGCTATGGTATTTCAGCTCGGTTGTCTTGAAAATATTTGTGTGTGCCAATTACTTGAAACGGGATCGGGCAGACTGAAACTCTGCCATACATTGTGCTGTCTTCGAGCTGTCACCCATCAACCACGGAGCTCCAGCACTAGACGGGCTGTTAGGAAGTGGTAATGGAGTCTTTCCTCCCAGTTCAAAGCCTGGGCAGTGTGAGTGATGAGGAAAGTTCCTCCCCTCTTTAATGGCTGCTGCCTGGAATTGTTTTCACAGAGGGCCTTCGGAGACGTCGGGCGGCGCGTGGACCTCCGGGAGCGGCTGCAGTGCAAGAGCTTCTCCTGGTATTTGAAAAACGTGTATCCAGAGGTCTTCATGCCCGATCTCAACCCGCTCCACTTTGGCTCGGTAAGCCCCCACGTCCCCCCTCTCCCGGGCTCTTTCCAGACCACAGAGAGCTGTGTCTGGCCACAGCGGGTTTCCACTTAGCATCTCCAGAGGGCTCAGAGGAGGGCTCCAGGCTAGGCCAGGGGAGAGAGCAGCTCCACACTATCTGAGGTGGCTGGGCTTGTTTGAACAGTTTGTGTGTCTTACTGAAATCCCTTTCCTTGTGCCTCCAGGTGAAGAATGTAGGTAAAGATTCGTGTCTGGATGCAGGGGAGAACAACGAGGGAGGGAAATCGCTGATCTTGTATCCATGCCACGGCCTCGGAGGAAACCAGGTCAGAGGGAAGGGAATGAAGGGACTGAGTTCAGTCATGAAGGAAATACTAAGTACTTTCTCTGTCACTTTCAAAATCAGAAGGATTACTTCTGGTGTTCTTTGTGATCCATCAGTATTTTGAGTACTCGACCCGTCACGAGATCCGGCACAACATTCAGAAGGAGCTGTGTTTGCATGGGACGGATGGAGCCGTGAAGCTGGAAGACTGCCAGTATAAAGGCCGCAGCACATTTGTAGGAGCAGAACAGAAGTGGGAGTTAAGGGAGGTGAGACCAAATACCCACATCTCTATTCTAATGGGCTCAGTCAAGATTTCTTCTTGAAATCTTGGGGTTCATCCATTATGTTACTGTTAATTATTACCTAATTGTTTGCCTGGTTCTCTTGCATTATCTTCACCATAGAAGTGGATGTCAGTTATTTCCTACTGAGGATGTTAGTGACTAATCTGTGTGTCTCCTCTCTGTGTAGAACCAGTTATTCTACATCCCAGGATGGAACCTGTGTCTGAGTGCTCGTCATGAGCACCCCTCCTTGGTGGCCTGTAACCCCTCAGACAGATACCAGCTGTGGCTCTTCATCTGAGGGCAGGACACACATCGTCCTCGGCAATAGTGGACGATGTGTGCCTTGGTATTCTAGGACCGTTAGAAGAAGTAGCAATTGGCGTACACTTTTACATTTTATTATCAAGTAGAATTTTAATTTATTTTTATACGTAGAAGAACTGCTGCTGGAAAGTTTGGGATTTTGAGGAGAACATGTGACCTCGGGAAGGAAGCATTCAAACATACTGAAGACTTAAGTTTGTTTTTCTCTCGTTCCTTTTTTAGTCATGATTTGGGTAAAGGAATTGTTTTTCTTCTGTCATTCAAGCCAACCACTGTCTGTAGATTGACTGCGGTAGCTGGGACTGTGTAGACACTTTGGATGGACACTAAATGAAGAGATATTTCTTTGAAGAATACCACGTTTTTCTTTTAGTGTGTACTTTGGAGGGAAATCAACATTACATTTTATTTAATTACAAAGGCTTGTTCTTTATTGCCCACACTGAATAATGTATTAATATATATGTGAAAACCAACAACAAAATGGACTCTGAAACAATGCAATAGTGCACTTGCCTCTTGCACAAACTGAATAACTCTGATGTTATGCACCAAAGACTAATCAAGGGTTTATTTTCTATTAAAGACATGCTCCAGAACTTTGGCAACTAGTTAGTATTTTTTAAACCTTCCGCTTTGGGCTGGATGCATAATCTATGAGCAGAATTACTGTCTTACCTCAATTAGCCACGAAATCCCTAGTTTGAAAGCGACTGTTTACTGGAAGCTGTGTAGTGCCATTTTCCCTACATTTTCCCCCACGTGTGCCAGCCCCCTAGCAATTCGAGTTCCAGCAGCGCCATTTTCCCTACATTTTCCCCACATTTTCCCCCACGTGGGCCAGCCCCCTAGCAATTCTAGTTCCAGCCAATGAGGTTCAGCCCCTCGCCATTTGAGTGACAGCTAGCAAGATGCGCACACACAGCAGAGAAATTATGTGGCGCACATATGTAATGTATGCAATTTTCGGGGACCAATTTTGGCTAGTAAGCTCTACTTTCAGAACTACTTGCTAAAAAGTGTACGGGAGAATCTCTTTAAAATAAATATGTTTATATTATAGGTTATTCAATATCTACCACTACTGCATCTTTTTATTATTCAAAGTATTCTATCAGATGTGACAGGAAAACATTAGATATGCATCCTCCATTACCACCGCTAGAGGGTCTGATTCCCCTCTTACCCAGCTGGTTTTCCTCACAAGCAGATTGAGAATGATCTCTATGCGTTGCCAATACAGTGCCTCTGGTTATTTTATGTATATACTTTATAAACAGCTAATTCTGATGAAATATGAAGTGTCCAAAGTGGCATTTTAACCAGGGGCTTGAGTCATGTGGTACTGTTTTATTTGGCACCCCTAATTCATAATCATCAGGTATTTGCAAGATAATTTTCTTTTGCTTTTCCATATTGCTTGGATGGGGCGTTCAGAGGTGTTTTACGGTTTTAATCATAAGTATACAGTTTACCTTTCTGAGACTGGCATCAGAACTTTAACAGCATAGCATTTTTTAACACCATTCCACAGTCACAGCAGTGGTATTTGAAATGACCTGTTGTGTACAATCTGGTTGACTCAAGTTTGACTGCATAAAATATATATATATTTTTCTTTGAAATCTCTCTTTACAAGAATACTTTTAGCAAAAAATCGAATGACGTAAACTAATGTTTTAGATGTCAGGGTTTTACGGAATAATTTAAGGTTGACACATCTTAACATGCATAGTTTAGTTCTTTGGAATGTATTTTTCTATATTTGACAACACATTTTGTAAAATAATTTTCTTGAGAATTAAATGAAGTTTTTGTATCATGTTTATGGGGATTGCAAAATTCTAATATGTAGGCTAAAATGTTATCTGTAGAAAGGGATATTTCTTAAATTGGTTTACAACATGGAATGTATGATTGTAGTTTTTTTGTTTTGATTCAAGTCTCAAAGAGCTCCCAGTATCACACAAACGTCAGTGTTTTGATGGAAGTGTGTGGACTAGTTTATACAAATCTATGGGAGAATGCTGACTGACAATGGAATGTTAGAATTTTATTGAATATGTCTGGGTCTGAGAAACGGATGGATCTACGGCGGTTTTCTGTCTGTCAACAAATTATAACCGAATGGCCTCGTGTGCCTTAAATTTGGATACTTGAGATTTTCCATTTCAGCAAAAGGAACTGTGTAATGAGTGCAATGACTGTATATGGCAGGGGTGTCAACTCATTCCATGGAGGGCCTAGTGTCTGCAGGTTTTTGTTTTTTCCTTTCAATTAAGCCCTAGACAACCAGGGGAGGGGAGTTCCTTACTAATGAGTGACCTTAATTCATAAATCAAGTACAAGGGAGTGAAAACCCGCAGGCACTAGGCCCTCCGTGGAATGAGTTTGACACCTGTGCTAAATGGCATGAGTGCCATTCTTCAGTTGGTGCAGAGCACCATTTCTAATGTTCAACAGTAGAGGGCGCTGTGAAAAGGAATTCATCCTTGACGCATCCTTACTGGGCTGTTAGTGTACCCTTTTCTAAATAAGTTGTTCAAGCTAACATCATTAAACATATAAAGAAAAGCAACACATGGTTTCATTTTATTTAAAAGTCATGTATTGTTAAAAAGCAAAAACACAACAAAAAATTGCATAACATTTTGGCTTTTTCTATCGTTAAGAAACCAAAACACATTGAAACATTTATACCATTTTGTACAAAAAGTATTCTGTTTCACATAATCAAACATAGTAAGCAATATAATGAAATCAGGCACATGGAGCTGTACAATTCACAACCATCATGAAACAAGCAACATTTTTGACAAATGTTTTTATTCAATACAGACATAAGTAAACCACAAATACACATTTCAATATATCATTCATAATAAATACTGAAAATCATAAACACAGCAGAATTACTCAATTGGATGCAATGTCACTATCTTGCCTTCCCTTAAATGCTTTGGCACTGATACTGTATAGTCCATACAGTAGCACTGATTGCCTGACAGCTGGATACACTTTGTTTGCCATTGAGGTGAGGTAACATTATTACATAGTGTTTCAGTCAGGCGCAGAATCACAAATCAAGTAGTGTTGGATGAATAGACGCACGGCTCAAGCTTAGAAGAGGACAGGGATACATGCAGGGCTACCCACTCCTTTTATGGTGAGGGAATTTAGGAATATTTGTATTTCATTGTAAAGGCTGTCCCTAACGTTTTAATACAGTTGTAGCAATACAAATCTGGAGCATTCCGTTCAATGGCCTTCCTTGTAAGTTATTTACAGATTTTCAGACTTATACTTTTCTCCCAATGTCTCAGGCTGATCAGTCATTCTTTAACTTGGCACTGATATGAACCATAGGCTTGCTTGATTGTCCAAACTCAAATGCCTGATGTGGCTCTCAAGAGTATGACATAGTGATATTTTGACCTTGTGTAACTTTCATTAAAACCTTCAAAGGGTTGTTTTGCATTTCCTGTTACTATTGCACTTCACACTTCAATAATTGTGTCACACAATAATGTTCTTATCTGTACAAACAATCTCTTAATGTATTTACTGGAAGTTGTCATAAGAGAATGGAATGTTTGTGTAAATATATACTTGAAATAATTTCCCTGTCCAACTCAGCAATGTTGTCCCCAGTTTTATGTTATGTATTTTTAGTATGACATATTTATTTGAAATGAAGCTCCATAAAATATTATTTACTGATCATATTATTGTCCTGTTCCCATATATTTGATAGTTGTATATGGTCTTTGAGAGATGTCAAAGTGCTACATTAGTATATCCCTGTGTACACCTTCACAAAAGTCCAAACAGCTATGAATAATTTTGACTTGAATGTCTCCAATTAAATTATGCTCTTGGCATAATTCAAAATCAATAACTAAAAGTTGTAGTCTGTTTCAAGCTTTTCCAAACCATATAAAAGCATGGATTACAAGTGACAACACAATAATAAGGTTTGTACAGTACATTGATACAGATTTTATAAACCAAAATTGACCATGGTCAATTTCTCATAAATGCCATTGAAAGACCCAAAAATAACATGCATTTAAATAACATAAGTATACACTAACCAATAAATAAACTGTGACGATAATTTGTTTTGCACATTTGACAATAAAGTTCCATTCACAATATATGCTTAAAACTTTACCTTTAAAATTACAAGATACATTGCACAGGCTTCCAGCTTTCAGTTTTTGTTTACTGATTTCATCTTGCAGTTTAGAATTCTAGAAATCAGGGAGTTCATTAGAAATGTTTCTCATCATGGAACCTGTAGCTAATTAATGTTAATATAATGTATGGTCTTTCAAATGACTTGGAAAGTTTAGTTCCCATTAAAGACCATGAATATCTTCTGCATAAATAACACTTGGTCAGTATTCCCACTGGCCAAAAACTGGTTGAATCAACGTTGTTTCCACATAATTTCAACCCAAAAATCAATGCGATGACTCAATGTCGAAAACTGATTGGATTTGCACAAAATATTCAATGTAAGGGCATTTCGTCTTTTTTCACCCAGCTTTGAACCTAAATCCAACGACATGGTTCCATTTGTTGTTGATTTCACGTTGAATTCACATTAGTTGACGTTGAACTGACGTCTGTGCCCAGTGGGTTGTTCACTAAGAAAAGACACAACATGAATTCTACAGACAGGTGAGCTAGGCCCACTAAACTGGTGCGACCTGGGGGAGATTCTCTGCTAATGCAGGGGTCTTTGTACTGTCGGCTAGAGAAGGCCCTTCAGACAAACCATTACCATTAGACACTTCCTTTGGCTGCTCTGCCACAAAACACTTCCCATTACTACCGTAGACTTCCTGGGAACTCTTATTGTTCAGGTAGTTGTGGAACTCCATCTGGCAGAGGCCCCCAGGCTGCTCAGGGAATGTTCCTTTAGATTGGACCATGTTGTTTTCCAGGTCAGGTGTGCAGCAGCCCATGGCAGTGGTTGCTGCTCTGCCGTTGGTCAGGGTGAAGTGTTTATTGGTGTACTGTTCCTCAGCCTGGTGGGGGTAGTCTGTGTACTGCTCTGCCATGTCGGCGGCCATGTTGAATGGTCCTTGTGGCATGGCCCCGTTGCTAGTGCTAACTGGGTGTGGGAATGATAAGGCCTCTCCGTAAATTTCACTGGGTTGGCTGACCGCCCCATTGGCAGAAGCAACAGCACTGGGGTTCTCCTGCTGATAATACTTGGCTGGGGAGCTGAGTAAATAAGAGTTTCCATTCATATGCTTGTCAATGTGGTTGTCCTGTGGCACGGTGCCGTCAGAGTAACACAACACAGAGGACAGGGGGACAACCTCTGTGTGGGACACAGGTGGTGTGCCCACACCATCCTCAAAGTCCTTCGACTTCTCCTCCTCATCATCCTCCTCTTCCTCAGAGTCACTGTTAGCCAAGCTCTGAGTGCTGGTATCAGACAGTCCGCTGCATAAACTGCTGTTGTCCTCTTCGTCCTCCTCATCCTCATCTTCATCATCTAGAGGCTCTTCCATGTCGTCAGGTGTCTGGAGGTGCATGATGGCAGACTGTTGAAGTGTTGGGTCTGACAGAGAGTATTCCAGACTGTGTTGGGTCTGGACCAGCGGGTTGCCGTGGCTGTGGCCGTTGCTTTCGCCATGGTAACCATTGGCAGGGGAGGCCTGCTGCTGCTCGCTCTTCTCCAGCTCTAGCTTCATGATGGTGTGCAGGAAGTGGGTCCGTACACGGATGGGGTTAAATTCCACCCGGCCGGCCGCGTTGCTACACCCCTCCTTGGTACAGCCACAGGGAAAAGACATGCGGTCTACCTGTAGATTGGACCACATTGGGTTATATGACCATATATTCTGCAGTTTGCATATAATAGATGAATTAATGTAATCATTTGGCAATATCAGATAAGCAACTGTAAATGATACAGTGCTTTTTCAATAATACAGTGCTTTCATCTACAGCGTCAAAAATATTTGATCACTTAATCACCCTTCTATTGAAATGCATTTGCCTCAAGGCTAAGGGCCGCATATGGGGCTTATTTCCAGAGCGGATAGAGTGATACATCAGTGTCAGTATGTCTGGGTCAGACTACCCAGGGATTTACCTGGCACTTGATTCCTGCTACGCAGCACGCACAGGTCTCTGGGTCACAGAACACTCTGCAGTCGCAGCCACAGTCCTCCCTGGACAATCGGATGGCCCGCAGCTCGTGCTTCTCCTCCACGTCAATCTTCTTCACCCCCGAGGTCCGCAGCAGAGCCCGGCGCTTCTTTGTGGTGAGGGGCTGGAGGAAGAAGTACTCGTCCACCTCGGTGTTGTCCAGATCAATGTCATCGTCAGAGATGTCCTCAGCCGTGAGTGTGTTGGCCTCCTCCGACTCCACTGTACCGTTCTTAGTCAGCTGAAAACCAACGAGAGGGGATCAAATTCAGTCCGGTTTGAAGAGTAAGCAACCAGCCGAAACCAATGACATGCTGCATCTCGAAAGAGGATACAGAGTCAGCCGTTGAAAACATGCAATGTTCTGGATTTATACAAGGATATGATATGTCACAACTGTACATCTAGTACCGTCTGTATATCATGATGCATTATCTCCTCTCCCTGTGTACAGTACATTTCATTTGCTCAGTAGCTTCCGTTTCTTTTAATACCTTGAGTTTTATGGAGTTGATTTTTTCCTCCTTCAGATGGTCTCGGAGCATGTCTCTGTGGATCCTCTCCTGCTCCAGGGCAAACTCTCCCAGGGAGTACTGCCTGACACAGCTGTGTCTGTTGGACATGCCCAGAGTACTGCCTCCCTGACTGGGCACACTGGTGAAACCCTGGCGCCGGCTGAAGTAGTACACCGTCACATTCTCAAAATGCACCCTCCTCGTCCTCACACGCTTCTCCCTCTTCAGTATGGAATCAGCTAGAGGACCAAATGACAACAGAAGAAGTGGATGGTGAAAGGAACGTTAAAAAGCAGTGATAGCTAGCCTACTCATACATAAATAATGGCGGAAGCAGGGTTACTTGTTCATACATGGATGAAAGATTGAGGGAGGGAGAAAAAGGAAAGCAAAGACTGAGGGCATAAATAATACCCCTCCTGGCCTGGATCTGGAGTCGTTGAGCACAGCTTTCCAAGCGCTCACCTGAGGTCAGACAAACAGGACAAATGGGAACCATCTGGTTCCAGCAGCTCTCCACCCTGTGCCATAAGGACAATGCATTCATTAACAACATGGCAATGTTGCCAGTCTTGGCTTCATGATTGGAATTTTGCTTTATTGTCTCGAAAAAAGGTTTATCAGGGTTTTGGGTATCCACATGGTTTTCAAGCTTGCAATACCAAACATTGTTGGATATCTCTCTGTATTTCTTCCTATTTCTTGTCCATTTTCTATTAGGGTTGCTACAACCATGTCTAAAAATATATATTTGAGAATACATAGAAGCCCTTTTCAAAGACCTCACAATTCCAAGACTGCTCCACTAAAAGCAATCACACCAGGAGAGGAGCTGGATTATTTCTCCAACTCTAACGTGACCCAAGACAGGTTGTACTGTATTCTCCAGGAAACAATGCTACTGTACATGTCAGCAGCAAGCCTGACACATTGTGGCACCTCTTTAGTGGGGAGAAGCTGGGGGAGCCATGCGTTGTGTTGCATGGTCCCTGGTCCACACACACACACACACACACATACACACATAAACCAGCACGTATGCACACACACACACACCCCAGGGAGGAGCCCTGTCACTCACACCCATAACAATCCAGGGAAGGGCTACTGTATGCATCTGTCACCAAACACAACATAGATCTGTCACCTGAGGAACCATCCACCAATTTTCCCCAGGTTGCCTACCAATAGCATCATATCTGCTTATAGAAAAATACAGGTAATCTAATACACAGGTCTTTTTTTATCAGAGGTGCCTGCCAAACTGGCTGTAGCCTTTCCAATAAGCAGCTTTGGAACAGAGAACAGGTTGACTCGACAGAGCTTCTTAGAGAGCCTGACAGACACACCAATAGCCCTCCCTATGGTTACTCAGCTGAGAACACAGACACTAGTTCAGCTCAGACAATGCATTTTTCTCCTCTTTTAACCCTAAAAGTACCAACAGGGGTCAATTTTGACTCAAAGGGGTAGAAAATGTCATAATTTCTAACCCCCTTTTTTTTATCCATCATAAATATTTGGACTTTGTCAAGCAGCTAGTTACCAACAACAACAAAAAACACAATTTACCAGGATTTCTGTGTTAATATGGAGGAATGAAAAATAGTAATATTTCTATACTAGTGGTGCGAGGCTAAGCTGAAAATGTGGACTCAGTAGAAAACGTTGTGATAAAAGCACCAAATATGCCACAGAGGTAGACATACACTACATGACCAAAAGTATCTGGACACCTGCTCGTCAAACATCTTATTCCATAACCAAGGGCATTAATATGGAGTTGGTCCCCCTTTGCTGCTATAACAGCCTCCACTCTTCTAGAAAGGCTTTCCACTAGATGTTGGAACATTGTTGCGGGGACTTGCTTCCATTCAGCCACAAGAGCATTAGTGAGGTCGGGTACTGATGTTGGGCGATTAGGCATGGCTCGCAGTCGGCGTTCCAATTCATCCCAAAGGTGTTCGATGGGGTTGAGGTCAGGGCTCTGTGCAGGCCAGTTAAGTTCTTCCACACCGATCTCGACAAACCATTTCTGTATGGACCTCGCTTTGTGCATGGGGGCATTGTCATGCTGAAACAGGAAAGGGCCTTCCCCAAACCGTTGCAACTAAGTTGGAAGCACAGAATCGTCTGGAATGTCATTATATGCTGTAGTGTTAAGATTTCCCTTTACTGAAACAAAGGGGCCTAGCCCGAACCATGAAAAACAGCCCCAGACCATTATTCCTCCTCCACCAAACTCTACAGTTGACACTATGCATTCGGGCAGGTAGCGTCCTCCTGGCAAACCTAGATTTGTCCGTCGGACTGCCAGATGGTGAAGCGTGATTCATCACTCCAGAGAACACGTTTCCACTGCTCCAGAGGACAGACGATTTTTATACGCTACGCGCTTCATTACTCGGCGGTCCCGTTCTGTGAGCTTGTGTGGCCTACCACTTTGCGGCTGAGTCGTTGTTGCTCCTAGATGTTTCCACTTCACAATAACAGCACTTACAGTTGACCGGGGCAGCTCTAGCAGGGCAGAAATTTGACAAACTGACTTGTTGGAAAGGTGGCATCCTATGACGGTGCCACATTGAAAGTCACTGAGCTCTTCAGTAAGGCTATTCTACTGCCAATGTTTGTCTATGGAGATCGCATGGCTGTGTGCTCAATTTTATACACCTGTCAGCAACGGGTGTGGCTGAAATAGCCAAATCCACTAATTTGATGGGGTATCCATATACTTTTGTATATATAGTGTATGTACCCTAAAAATATATAGATATGGAGCCACCCCAGATTTTGCCCCTGGGGGCCGCGGCAGCCACTATATAAAAAAGTCAATAGGCCCATATATTGCCCATAATGGTGGCCATTTTAGGTCCTGCCGGTATGTCAGATTAGCTCAATCACCAATTTCTCAGCCTCTGAGTATCACAGAAAGACAACACTATGAATTAATAAATGACAAATGTTCATAACAGGTGGCTATGAAAGAAATGGATACAAATCTGTTCATAGCATGGTAAACGTACAAAAACATATTTTCAAACATCAAATTTGAATATAATTGTGAAACATTTTTTAAATAAATGCTTATTTTGGGGAAATTAAACCATTTACTTGTGTTACAAAAAGCTAATAAAATCTAAAGTGTCACCGCTTGACAGAGAGTGTCAAAATTGACCCCCTTTGGCGCTTTTAAGCAACAAATATGTTGGCGCTTTTAGGGTTAAAGCACACACATTGATGCAGCTGTTTTTATTTCCTCTTCAACTGTGTTATCTGGATTATATTCCTACTAGCCGTGGGTTGTTTTTGTGCTTCAGAACTCAGAATAACAGTCATCACAAGGTGTTATTGACGATATGTTTCCTAACATCCATTACAAAAGCAACATTATGATGGAGAAGTAACATCTGAGTGACACATGCTTCATTAAAAACGATTGTCTCTTTCACTAAAGTACAATATGCTATTTGTTTGTTCTTTTGAGACTGTGTCAGTGTTGAGCATATCGATGAGTGTTTCGACTGTTTCGTTGACTGTTTCGTGTAGGGAGAGAGAGCAGTGTGTGTCTGTGCGTGTCTGTGTGCGTAAATGCATGTGTTTGTGCTTGCGCTTGCATGTGTGTGTTGGAGCCAGGTGACTCACGGGTGAAGGTGCCCGATGCTGAGGGGTTGACACTGTCACTGCTGTCCCCGCTTTCGCTGCAGGAGACCTCGTCATCAGACTCCCTCAAGGAGGAGCATGGTGAGGAGGACGCCTCCACCTCCTCAAACCTCCTCTTCAGTATTCCGCTCATGGCCCTCCTCTCTGTCTCCGTCCCTGCACCTGCAACAGCCAACAGGGAAGGAAGGGAAAACATTATTTAATGCCCAGCTTAGGCCCCGCCGGTCTCAGCAGTACTCCTCAGCACAGTCAATTAGCAGTGAGTCACAGAACACAACACCCCCAGCTGCTGCCCAGCTTCCCCCGCCCTCTCCCTCCCACCCTCTCTGATGGTCCCCAGGCAATTGATCACCTTACCACAAAGGAGCTCGGATGCTTGGCGAAGGCTGCGAATTGCATGCTACGTCTACCTCAAAGGAAGTTCATTCTGCTGTCTTTGATTGAGTGACCACAGAAAAAGGACACTGGACTGAGATAGTTTGTTTCTTCTGCCCTGTATTCATGATGGATTTCATAAAAACACTGCCTGACTGTTGTTCAACTAAAATAATATTTTTATCACAAAAGAACAACATGGGGCGAAAATGAAATGAGGCGTTAATGCCCAAAGCAGGCTTGTAGTATCCACCCACAGCACCATATGAAAAATTAAAAACATTTATGTGACTGTACTTAATTGCTGTTGCACCTCAGAAACACAATGAATGCATCCAGCCGGCTACTGATTGAAAATATCCACTGGCTTCAAAATGTATTAATTACATCTTAGGGGAAATTTAAAAAGCCTGACTACAGCTTTACTTATTCTGGGATATGCAGAGAATTTAAATATGCCTGTAAAAACTGGCTGAATGTGTGTGGGGTGTGTGCATGTGCACGTGTATGTGTGTGGGTGTGTGTGCGCATAAGATGCATGCAAGTAAAATCAAATAGTGATTTGTAAAATGGTTAATGTTGCACATTCAGTGCTCCTCCCTAGAGGGGTTCCAATCTGAGGCATGACTTATAGTAGTTAGGAGGAAATTATGAGTGGCATGGTTATACCGTCTATAAAAGAAAGTAAACATTTTCCAATGGACCGGGAGGAGCACCCAGAGGGCTGTAAAGTGCTATTGGCTGAATAAAGGGGCCAGAGTGTTAGCTAGCTGCCAGTGTCACAGAGAGTGAGGAAAGTTGCGTCCGAAATGGCACCCTATTCCCTATATAGTAGGGCTCTTGTTAAAAGCAGAGCACTATATAGGGAATAGGATGCCATTAGGAATAGGGTGCCATTTGGGATACAGCCCCTTTCTGAGTCCCTCATCCTCCCCAATGCCACTACACAGCAGACCACTACACGATAGGCCAGTGGAGAGCAGCCACCAGTGACAGCCATTAAATTCTGACTGATGGTGCAATTAAACCAATCACAACAAGAGCAGGCTCATCAGTCAGCTGCACAGATACTAAGTGCCAAATTAGGCTACTGACTTTAAGTCTTACTTTGTAACTGTCAAACATTGTGTTGCTGGAACTTGCTATACCTTTCCTCCACAAATCATTTTACATTACTTGGTCCTCAGCCAGTCATTGTTTGCATCAGTAATCTAGTAGCAATTATTTTTATATGAATAATGTCATTTTAGACATCAATAATCTATGCGTTATTACACAAACAATAGTAATTGCATTTTGTCTAATATGTCCCTCATATGTTGACAATGTAACGTTGTATGTGACAACAGGAGTCTGGCTTTTGTTTCTCTTACTCCATGACTTGGGAAGTCATCTTCTAAAACGCATCCAAACCATTAGCATACAACTAGATAGCAGAGCAAGAGGAGCATGACTGGCAGGTTCTCTCTCCGACTCCTCTTTGTTTTCGACACGGAAATAAAGAAACACGACTTCAGAAGGACAAGACATTGAGCTAATGTGTGAACGTTTGTTCACTCAACAAACTTTGCTCACTTTGAGCTGAATGTCTAAAAATGTGTTGAGTCAAATTACAAATTCATGTTTGTCTTTGGAAGGCAACACTGCTGTTGGTTCAGCTATATGCGCAAATGTTAAAAATTCACAATCCTATTGCAGTTGGTTGCCTTACAATTGTACGTTGAATCAACAAACTCAGCTTGAAGTGAGCTGAGTTAGAACAAGCTTGATGAGTAAAATTAAAAATGAATGTTTGCTCAAAACCACACCCATCATTATCATATTTCCCAGCATGCTCTATTGCAGGTTGATTTTCAGAATTGTTTGTTTCAATATCTGTGTTTTTGCATGTACATTGATTGGTTGATTAATATCTTATGCTACACTAACATAAATAAGATACATTTTTCTAAACTAATCCAATCTGTTAGTAGTTGGACTTTTTGCACCCGTTACTGAGATGGCTGTACCAGTTTATATGACTTAGGTAGTCTCAATAATAAAATCTTCCTTAACCTGGCAGTCATTCTCAATGCAGGTTGTGGGTGATTAAAAGTTCAAATTGTTAGATATCCTCACTCTGGCTGGATTCCAATAGGAATTACACATCACTTTGCAAGCCAGCATAATGTCACTTGCAGTCTTCATATGGCCTGTTAACCAGGAGTTTCAACTAGGCCCTCAAAGAAAGGCCTTATGATATATGTAATAAATATAAGGTAGAATAAATTGTCAAGTTAAATTGTCTGTTCATTGTTCACTCAACCTAAAATTCTAAGTTGAGTGAACATGCAATTCAACTTGAGAATGTATGTTGGTTCATCTATATGCCAAAATGTTAAGCAAACTCACAATCCTATTGCAGATGGTTGCCTTAGAATTGTACGTTCAATCAACTTTTTTATTTTATTTTTACAATGTGTGGTTGTTACTATGACATAGGTCTGATTGCACCTGGGGGAGATTCAATGTCGACTACAGTACCTAGCACTGTGGAATGTTCAATGTGAGGCATCAGGACTGTCCCTCTGCATATACAGTAGGCCACTCATTCAAATATACTGTTGACGCCAATCATTCTTTTCCATTGTTCCATTAATGGATTACAACAAACTCTACATACCTTGATCCAAAACTTATCAGCGTTTCCTGTTGGCACCATTCATGAAATATTGAATCAGTCTAGAATGGTCACTGGCCCTTATCATTTAGCATCAAAGGGTCAACAGATAATGCAACTATCAAAGACTGCCTGAACGCAAAGATAATTGAAAGACTTTCATCCACCTTTTGGGTAATTCTGTGTGAAAATGAAACGCACCATAAATGTCAAAGACATGATCATTTTCCTGTAACCTACTACACCTTTTTATGTAGACTATAACCAATGGAGGAAATGTAAAAATGTGTTAGAGGCTTAGTACCTCCTTTTCTACAGGTGTCCAAATGGGCAGTTGGACAATGCTCCATGTAATTCAGGAAAAATACAAAATAGTATGGACATTTGAGTTCCATTTTACAAATGGGATGGCCCATACAATGTAAATCTATTTTGTAATTATTTTAAGTAGTTCCCCATTGTTGAAAATCATTCGTATTCTTAGCCCTCAGCAGATGCTGCACTATTCTTTGATAGCCAAAGTGGTTTCCATGGAGATGCTAATATACTAGCACAAATAGTGATTTCACATCTGAAAGTGATTCTGCTCCAGCCCTATGTCTGTGAAACATAAATAGCACTACATCTGACAACACATTAATACAATATAGATTAAGGAGGAGGATCATTTTGAGGCAATTACACAAATTAAGAATATTATAAGATAAATATCCTATTACCAACTTTACACAGAATCCAAAAAGGTATACAAATATCATTTTATGTATGAACAAGGATCATGATGTCTTATTTCATACTGTAGCTATCCCAAAATAGATGGATCCATTTGGACAGGGTAACATCGTCTTGACACAGTGAATAGGCATCATATGTACTGTAACACAGTGGCTAATGTAAGCAGACTTCACTTCTTCAAGGCTTAGCAGCACAAGCCAGAGAGCAGAGCTTGTTCCTCCTCTACATCATGCAGTTCCTTCTTTGTCTCCTCCAATGTTGTGTTCCAACTAATCAAGGCTGGGCATAAATCACGGTGCATGAGAAAATGCTAGGGGAAATAATGCAGCAAAAGCCTGCTTGCAAAGCCCCTCCCTGTGCTGGCTTCACTGAGCGCACACACATGCCCTGTACAAACCAACTGTATTCCTTTATGAACTGCATCCAAAGCCCGCTGTGGCACAATCATATTCTGAATCAAACAGACAATGTTTCCCCCATTCATAAGGTTCACAAATCACTGTACACAGAGGTGACACAAAAGCCTCACACTGCAGATCTGCTATATAGAGAGAGAGTCACAATGAAAGCTCTCGTTCCAAGTAATACTAACAAGCCCACAGCATCTGTAGCAAGTCATGACACATCATGTCCTGCAAAAGAATACATAACGGTGCACTTTGTGCCAACCCTGGTAGAAACGACTGACCTGTGTCCACTGGCGTGTTCCGACTCCTTTGACCCCCTTCTCACAGTGAGACTTGGGAGCAAAATCTAAACGAAGCACTCAAAAAGAGGTGAAACATGATAAATGAAGGGCTTCCAGTTTGCTTTAGTCCACTGACTTGCTGCAACCCTGCTACTCTGAGGGCATGAGAGCCGGCTGAGAGGGAGAGATAGGGAGAGACACAGAGAGACTTGTACATTTCTCAACCCTGACTGCCACTGCCGGTACCATATGCTTTATTGTTAAATGAAGATAGGCGCTCTCTCTTTAACTCTCCCTGTCCCTTCCTCTCTACCTCCCCCTCTCTCTCCTATTCACCCTAGCCACACAAAGACTCATTAGCTGCTACCGGCTGAAAGGCTGGAGCCTGACTGGAGTGGAGGGAGGAAGCCTGTGAGATCACATGGGTGGGATGTCTGAGAGCGAGTCAGGCGTGCCTGTGCTCCTGCTGTCTGCAGATATTTTTACCAGCATGAGCCTGGGAAGGAGGGAAGAGACGGAGTGAGAGAAAGAAAAGAGAGGAGGGGGGGGCACAATAACCCAGTAAGATTAAAGGGCACAAGGCTTAAAACCACAGGAGGAACCATTGCATGGCTCACAACATTGAGATTGGAAGTAAAATCTCCAGAAAGTGACAAATCCAGCAAAAGAGCATTATCTGTGCTTATTCTAAAGGTCTTCGAATCATTGAAAAAGTATGTATACCTCAGACAAACAGGAA